GAATATGATATTTGGAAGCAGGGTCAAAATCCTTCTCAGTTCGTGGAATAGGAGGTATGATTCCTTGATGCCTTAACCGCAGCTCCCACCAGCGTGCATTCATTTCATCAATATTCCAGTCTCCAGCGAACAATCCCCAACGCCACTGAGAAAAATGAAATATTAGTTTTATATATAAACCATTTTTACTGACTTGTAAAACAAATTATATCAGTTCTACAGTTTTGTGGTCATTCAGCCATTAGTTGGATTTTCTGTATATATAGGAACCACTTATTTACATTATTTCATAGCCTTCCTAGACTGTTAGATGTGATACTTTTTCATTATCCCATGTCATGGGAAAAGACCCACAGTTATATTTACAAATCACAGAAATTTCTACATATTTTATAATTTCATCTTCTAATAGGTCATTTTTGCTTATTAGTATAAACTTTGATATTTCAATATGCCAAAATTTAAAATTATCGTCACTACAAATCCTAATCTTCTGTTATAATTCTGAAGGTATAGAACCCTGAAATTAAAATAGTTTGCAACAATGGTAATGTCATTTTTTTAAGTTTTACCCATGAAATTTTGTAGGATTAGCATCTTTGTTGCCATTCAGTTTATTGAATGGTTGATGTCTGGTTTAAAATGCAGCAGTTGTTCCAAAGTTAAGGGTAAACATCTGGATGTGTACTGTTTAGATTACAGAATGACTAAATTTATGATTGCACATATAAAGTAAACACAGATGGCATCTAATAAACTTTCCAGCTGAGTTTCTGTGTGAATTTCAACTTATTGTAACTGACAAGCAATATCATATTAACGCACCTGATCAACAATATAGGCAAATGGAAGGTATGCAACTTTTTCAAGAGCCATCAACATCAGGAAGTTTATACCAGTTTCTGAAACATAATTATCATATGTCATACACTAGAAGTATTCTCTTGAATTAACTAAAAGGAGCAGACTCCTCTTTGAGAAACTGATAGTCACTTTACTATTCAGAGAATTCTCAACCATTGTACTCAAAGTATAAATTATATCATATTTTGGACAGATACAATAAAAGGTTCAAATATAATAATATGAATGGTCCTGTATAAGTTTGTTTTCAAAATTTTAAAACATTAAGAAATATTTTTAATGTAATCCACTTGTGCAACTGAGAAGTACAGAAACACAACCTTTCCTTCAAAAACGAAACAATTTGTAAAACACTATTGGGCCAGATCTCGGTGGTGAGATAGTTTCATTTAAAAAAAAATTCAAGAAAAAATATAGTCTTAGATAGGAGTTTACATTTTCTTATTTTTCAGTAAGTGACTCATAAAACAACATATGAGAATGACTTGGTATATGCTGACTGACATATCACATATCAGTGTCAGATATTTGAAACAAGCTATTAGTAATAATGGTCAGTACTTTCATATTATGAAAAAATTATGATTAGGAAAATCTGTAAAAAAGTGATGTTACACTTTTTAAGAATAAATTAATTGTGAAGTTATTTTGAATCATAATAGTTATTCATACCATATTCATCAGTGACATTATTAAGGAGTCCAATTCCTTGCAAATGCCGAGGACTAGAAACTGATAAAGTGATTACATCCCCCACTGCCTCATGGAAACCTGTAAAAATATTAACATTCCTACATAACTACTTTAAAAGAAAATATATGAAAATTAACTTAACTACAACAACTCATTTTGTTTATAAAATATACACAACCTGTAAAGTCTTACTGTGGATTTAGTAAGTTGAATTTATAGGTGAAAAACTTGAGTGTTTATTAGCCTTATCTGAAATTTTAGAAAGATGATTCTAAAGTGAATACTTTCAGTACTAAAAATAAAATATTGCAATTTGATAATATTAATGGAAGCTATGAAGACCAGACAGTCTTACCAGGATTAGCTCCATCCCTGAACAACAGGGGTTGGTCTGCGTATTGTAAGTAGTACTGGATATGAGCCATCTCGTGATGTATAGTTAGCAAGTCCTCCAATGAGACAGTAGTACACTGTTTGATCCTGAAATAGATGAAGCAACTTCAAGATGTTGGTTTCTGTAACTAAGAGCTACAAACCTGAGCTATTTCTGTTCAGACCAGACCATCACATCCTACTTTAACAAGATAGGTTTTAATATTATCTGTCCATATTAATTTCAGAAACAAAATATTATGGAAAATATTATTCTGCCATCACTGATTAACAGGCATACCGGTAAATTTTATTACAGACTTCATTTTAATCTGTTGAGATTCTATAGCACAGAGGTCACCAATGGCTTTCAGTGTTATTGATGTTGACTGGAATATTGAAATGAAGAGAGCATTTCACAGAGCTAAGTCCTGGAAGCTCTCAGCCCAAAAAAGGGAATCTGTTCTTCGTAGCTATCAGTGTTTAAAGAGGGAACAATTTTACAATATATACAAGAGCAACTACAAATAATTGGTTTTCATTATAGAAATGAAGTGTACTATACAGTTCAGTGGTAGTCTCCAGGGTTGTGATGCCATGTGGTCTTGTAAATGGGTGCCAGCATTTCAGAGGAACATACTGCCTGTATCCTGAAGGTCAAAGTGAGGTAGGTTAAGAAGTGAATGGTTTATGTAAATATAGGAGGAGAACAGGCATAGGAATTGGCCAACAAGAATCAAGGGATGAGGAATATAGATAGAGAATGTCTGGGCCAATAGGAAAGAGCCCTATACAAGGAGCCAGCGCTGATGATGGAGGCAGTATGTTTCTCCAAACGTTTGCTACTTACATGGTGTCATAACCCAGAAGAACATCATTAACATCTTTACCACCATGAGAACCTTAGGTACTATACTGTATTCTTGGGAGAATGTGTTGCCACCAATAATATCAATCAATAATTCAGGAAGTTATCACAAGTTTCTGAATTATTTATTGATAAGATGGTGTTTATTGCAAAAACATTTGATTGTACTGATAGTGTGATTCAGGTGCAATGTGATTTTCACAGAAAATTTAGTTGCAAGGAAGGTCCAAGCTGGTAACACACTGGTCCAGAAGTTTGAAAATGTGGGTGCTGTGACTGACAGTAAGAAGTTCATTGTCAGTGGAAAGAGAATATCAGTGAACATGTTATAGGAATTGTTGGTTGAATTTTCCTTGCCAATACAATGACAACTAAATGTCATCAGCAGGCCCTTGAAGAAGACTTCTATTTTTCCAAGGCTTAGATGTCAGTTCAAGGAAACTTTCTTCCAATGGGATGGGGTGTGAAGGCATACAAGGAATGCAATTTTGGCAACCACTTCCCCCTTCATTTTGACTGTGGGTGGTCTTGGTTACCATACTATTCCCATCTCAACCCCTTCAGTTACATTTGCAGGGTATCTGAAAGACAGGGTGTACAGAAACAGCCCCACACAGTTGATGAACTGAAAGAAGAAATACCATATGTTGTCATCATAATCACTGTAAGCAAATTATTTGCTAATTTTCAACTCTGACTACACATGGTCTTGGATTCAGATCATCCACATACTGAACATGTTATTAATTGCTAGATTAAAATTACTCTTCTCCCAAGTCTACTGTGCCAATTAACATAACAATCATTCCTGTACAATAAGCATATCAAAAAATACTTACAATTTAAATTTAAGCACCTTTTTTGCTTGACCCTGTAATTAGCAGGGGAAGATAAAGTATGCATAATATGTTGAATTTAATATCTGAATTTAGTTTTTGTTCAGTTATTTATAACATGCCAGCCATTTAGTAACATTACAAACAGTTCTAATGATATATTTACCTGTAGTCTTTGTGATTACAGAAGTCCCATGCAGATGCTCGACAAGCTACTTCTCTGTCTAGAGGTTTCTCAAGCATTGAATGGTGCCAGAATTCAGGAGGCATTGGTTTAAGTCCTAATGATGTGAAGAATTCTTCAGCCAGGTGAAACATCCTTTTATTTTATAAATAAAGACATTTAATTAATAAATGCCATGTATTTCTCTGTAAGCAGAAAAAAGTTCAGTTTCTTGGGCAAATACGTGTTTGTATAAGCGGTCCAGTCATAGAATTTAATTGTTACATTGACTCTGAATTTGTTTTTGTTTTGTCTGTATTCAGAATGCACATGGAAAATTTGGGAAAGTTTTAGAAATCACATGGTTTCCTACATTCTTCATTAGTAGGGTATATTTTAAAATATGTGAAAATGCAATTTAGACTAATCTGACTTCAGTATCATCACGTTTAACATGCTAAAATGCCCAGTATCCTCTTCAATTAACTGTGTTAATTTCAAATCTCATTAAAATAATGATGTCATGAAGATTTATTGTTTTTATTATACGTGTGCATTTTTGGTTTAACAATGCTTTTTGTAGCACAGATTTAATAGTTCCAAATAACAGGATGTTTAATGAATCGGAAAGGCTATGGCAGGTAGCAGCTGTGGCCTCATTTAAGCTGCCATCCCAGCATTTGTCTGGAGGGACTGAGGAAAACCATGAAAAACCTCAGTCAGTATAGCAAGTCTTTGGCAAGCATGCTAATCACTTGGCTGTAATGCCAGTTCAGTTTTTTTTTGTTTTTGTTTTTTGGGGGGGGTTAAGTTCCAAGTATATAATAACATTTCATTAATTTATCCATCTCTTTAGATGATTTCTTTAATTACCTGAGTGGTGTATATCCTTGTCTCAACATTTCAGAAGATACATCAACTGTTGACTTTGCTGGAAATGGGATCACCAGGTCTGCTAGGTTCCGCCAGTTTTGTGCCCACATGTTCCCTACATAATACATGGTCCATATCATTAAGCCTGTATTGAATATATGAGAAGTGTGATATATTTTTTTTAATATCATATTTTAAATTGATATCATCTCATTATGACATTTAAATGCACCATGATGTTGACTATATATTTCTCTTTTACAAAGATGTTTGTTCTTGTCAGAATTTAGTGTTGGAGTTTCAGATGGATAAAGTCTTATTTGACCCAACCAGTCCTGAATCTGAGATTTTTTGGAAGTGTCAAATTTGAACTGTGTTTGTATAAATGATTGTCACTTGCATAACTACATAGCTTACCTAGCCATAGCTATGTCAGCCAGTTATTGAAACTTTATGATCATAAATCATATTGTTTTGTATGATGTCTCTTTTATCGGAGTTAGTTAGTTAGTTGTAGGATGTGGCTCTTACACCGTCTTCTACTTTAATGCAATCTCACTTTCACTCATATTACACAGACAAGGCTCTGGAGATCAAGTCACACTTGTGTCACAGTCCATAATATTCCTCACTTTTTTGTCATATGCATAATTTATTAGCACTGCATACTGTTGCACACTTTTTGTGTATCTTTTTATACTAACAAAATACAGACTATATGAACGTCAGTGATATCTGTATTATCTTTAGTTCATAACTTTAATTAATTGTACAAATGTAGGCCACTTGTTTCAACATTAATATAAATTTCTCCCATCCCCATGAGAGGTTTTTTCCCTGGCTTACAAACATACGTAATTTTCCATGTCTTATACATATTTTATTTGGTGGAAAATGTTTTGACTAGCTGAGCGTACTATTAGCTTCTCAAGTAGTTATACATATTTCCTTTGTTACAAATAAACATGCACTCAGTTCCACAAATTCTCACCTAACAGATGTGCTGGTAGTGGTCCATCAGGTCTCACATGTTCAGAACCATATCTCTCCACAAGTCGACGCCTTACGTAAGCATGCAGCTCTCTGTAAAGTGGTGCTAAAGTTGCCCAGAGCTCTGTTAGTTGGGTATTAATTTCTGAGTCCTCATAACTCTCTCTCTGTTGCTGCCCTGCATCATGGAAACCTGAACTCACCAGACAAAGGCATTTAAATTAGTGTTAATATGGGGGTATAAGGCATATGTTACAGCTGCGTGTAGATAAATTGACTTTGTATGTTATCTTATTGTTGACCTCGGGTTGGTTAGAAATAAGGAATATAAATGATTGAAGAAAAGAGCTTACCAAATGAATATTTCTGTCTTCTGGGTTGTTTCACTGTGTAGTCTGGTCGATGGTCTGATCGACCAGACTACACGGCGCAACAACCCAGAAGACAGAAATCTTCATACTCACCGCTGTGAAAACCTCAAATCTTACAGCTTACCAAATATTATATAATTTGTTTAAGTAAAGAAATAAATTAATAATTCATTCACATGTGTGATTATATTTATCATATTTGTATTAACTGAATTTTAATGAAATATTTTTAAGCATTGTGTCTTAATATGTAAGCTTTAGTGGCTTTTTGTAAGTACAAAGTTAGTCCTGATGATGACCAAGACTGGCAGAAACATTTTGGGCAAGTGAATGAACAAAATGAGCATTATTAATTAGATATACTTGTATATGCAGTTTGTATCAGCCACTTAAAATGAAACTTTGAAGTGAAAATAATGTAGGCCTTTGCTGTAAAGGTACTTACCCATGTCACTAATTAGTTACCAGTTGTCGTAAGCAAAATGTCTGTATAACTGATTACATAATGCAACTGTTTTGTTCATTCGCTTTCTTGCCTTCTTGGAATGGACATTTAATTAAGAAGCTGTTGTACTTCTTTTCAGTAGCCATTTATTTTTAATTGTGTGCTACAAGCATGTGTAATATAATATGTGCACTTTAATACAAACTACTACTTACCATTTAATCTAGCTGCATGATTTGCTAGTTGAACATAACGAATATACTTGCTTCTGATTGGAGGTCCCACAGTATCACGCCATGCTTGCCACACATGTAACTGTTCTTCATAGTCCCGTGAATGAGACATGATGCGAGTCAGATCTGCGGAACCATGAAACAACATTTGAAAAATAAATTCTCTTTGCTAAATTATTTTTAAGTGATCCAATCTCTATGGAGCATAAAGAGTGAGACGGTTGAAATATAACTGTAGCAGCTCAGACGTGAGAAACGGATGTTATACGTGGAGAGGCAGAGAAGGGCAATCACCCTGTTCCCCCAACTTTTTCCCACCTACATATAGTCCATTGTTGCACTCCTGGGTTTGTTGCTACACCCAGCCAAAAACCAACCAACCAAAAACCTAACTAAGGGTGGAGTCTTGTATGAAGCACAAATTGAACCCCATTCCTGCGTACAAAGCGCATAGCTAGAATTGGAAAAGAGTGTCGTATAAACTGTAATCGGGGGTGTGCTTACGTTAATGGGATTGTTGTATTTGCTTAAGGCTTTGATGTGTTCAGACTAGGGGCCATTGCTGCTGGTGGAAGGGGCCTCCCATTACGCAGTTTGTTCTTTGCAAAAAGAAGTTTGGTTGGATGGATGTCTGGAAATTGAACCCAGAAAGGTTGGGATCAATTTGGCTGAAGGCCTTTGTAACTTATAGTAGAAATCATTTTTGCTAAAGACCTTAATGGCAGGGGGGGATAGGTAGACTACTCCTTTTAAACTATGTCCTGGTATTTGCTTTATCACTGTGAAAAGGCGCACTAAACCTCAGTCAGGGTGGCAAACGGTGATTGTTACATTGACTTAGCTAATTCTTCTGGTCTGCTGAATATTAGTCATCCTTGATTAGCCATGGGTGGCTTCAGACAGCCCTCGGTGGCACAAGTGCCTTCCCACTTGTCAAAATAATGGTTTCCCCATATCAGCTGACTTTGAGTAAACCTCTCATTAGTGCTCTAATGTGGTTGTCAAAAACAATCCCCAAATCCTCTTGAATTTGCCTGTTATTTGCATACCATTACAGATTAACTTGACATCGTTCACCTGCCATTATGATATCTTGACATGCTAGACATCATTAACATATTTCTGTGATATGTGATGGTATGTGTGATTATTATAATTTATATTTAAAAATAAATATAGATTCTATATTTCTAATTATTATTGACTAATACCATGGAGCAATCCTTGAGAGGTTACTAGTTGTCCAACTAGTCATTAAATTTTGCATTTTATGAAGGTTCATTGTCACCTACCACCAATCCCTACCTTGTGCATGATGAATCCGATCCACACCCTCCCACCCTGCTTCTTTAATTTCCATTTTAATATCATCCAATTAACACTGAGCACTTTTTGAGTGCTGTAGTAGGAATTAATAAAATAAGGGGTCATGAATACACAGGAAAAACGTAAACATGAAGTTTTTTATCCATCCTGATGTAATTCTTCTCATGAACATACCACACTTTTCTACACTCTACATAATTATGAGCTTTAGTTACAAGCTGAAAGAACATGTGACTAGCCTTACCTGGATCAAGTGCAAGATCACAATTTCCGCTCTGCCTGTAGTTGTAGTTAATATTGTTAAGCGAGTGTGGACAAATACGTGCTCTTGAGTAAATCTCTTTCATTTCTGTTACCAGTTGCTGTAGCTGTAAACAAGGAAGAAAATTTATGCCGCCAGTATATCTAAGCTGTCAATCTGGCAGATATTCAAACAAACGCATGGAAACTAAAAAAATGGTATGGTAAATTATTTAAGGACTCTGTCGGAACCAGATACTGTCTTCATATTATCCACTTTGATTCATACTATAAAATCTGTCATCTCTGGAGATATAGAATTAAAAAGACTGACCCCAGATAATAAAAATGTAACTTAATTTGTGAAGCACGTTAAGTAAATTGAAACCATAAATCGATTTTATTGATCCTTCTCATCTTCTTCTCCTTCTTCTTCTATGGCTCTCCGGTCCGTATTCGGTCCATGGCCTCCTCAATTCTCCTCTTCCATATGGTCCTCTGTTAGGTCTGTCTGTCCGAGATTTTGATTGAGGTTTCAAAACATCTTCCTTTTTACGGTGCAAGGTTGTTAGCCTTGCGACCAACCCCCAACCTGGAGCATCCTTCTCATCTGTTTCATCTAAATTGAAGGTTTGGTATTCCTAATTCCAAAACTTGATCATGTTTTTGATCCTGAGCCAGTTTTGTCCACGTCCTATCCTGAGAACATATTTCCCTACGAGCTTAACATCTCTTTCCCATCTCTGTCATGGGTTTTTCAAGTGGCTGCTTCCCAACATATTTCTCCAACAAGACTCTTTGCATTCTTATCTCTTTCTTCTGAGCTACTCTTAACTTATTGATTGTAATAATAATAATAATCCGTGGCATAACAGCCCTCTGAGGTGCCAAAGCCGACTAGCTTGACTGCTGGCCTCACGTTCACATGCCTGAGCAGAGGTGAACGATCATCCAACCAGATATAGGGTGACGTATGGTCAGCACGACGAACCCCCAGCCATTGCTAGCTTTCCTGACCGGATTACGCTACTCATTGTAGATCCCCAATTTCCTCACGATGCTGGGTTGGCACCGATCCCATACACCGGTCGAAAATCTCATGAGAAAATTTCTTCTCCCGGAGACTCGAACCAGCGCACATTCCGTATCACCGGTCCGAAGCATGATGCCTCAAATCGCGCGGGCTACGGTGCAGGATAACTTATTGATTGTATTACCCTTTAAATACTAGAAAACCTGTAGTTTCCACCCATTCCACCCCTTACCCTGACAATATCAGGTATCATTTCATAAAATACAACCAGTTTTTATAACTAGTGTGCATTTCTTTTCTGACCCTGTGTATGTATGAGAACTAAAAGATTGTACAGTGTAATTTCTCGGTGTAAACAGAACTCACTTCATTAAACTTCTCCTCTGGGAGTGCAGTTCTTCCCTCTATGGCCAACATGTGTAGCTGCCTTCTGACGATGGGATCTGGTAACCGCGTCCACGTATACGATGTAGCTCTTCTCCATGATAAGCGTTGAAACTTCGCACTCAATGCTTGTTCCTCCAACTGTCGGAATAGGAAATACACAAAAGTAAGTAGGCGAGATTAGAATTCTGTGAATTCACAGCCATTTATTTGTGGACTCCTTTAAGTAAAATAATTAAGAAAGGATAATAATTTCTTTTTTCTTCCTGAGAACTCAGATTTGTTTACATGATGTGACCAAAGTATGAATTTCATTGATGTGGTTTAACACTTTTCTGGTTGATAATTTGGATGTAAGTACGTCATCTAAGCTGAAATTTAACACAAGCCTTTGATAATACTTTAATTTCTTTTTAAAGTCCGTGTTAAAGTCATGAAAAATTATCCATATACAAAATTATTTAATTTTTTTAATGTTTATATTGTGAAGTCTGAACCTGTTTTCATACTTTCTATCTTTGTAACAGTTCTGGTTACTTTATTATGAAAAATACATTTTTAATATCAACGAAAGTGAAGTTTCATAACAGAAATACTCACCATACGACGCTTATTTGTTTCTGTGATGTTGGTACTATAGTTCCATTGGGATGATGTGACTCGAAAACACATTCCAGATGCTTCCCGATCATATTCTCTAAGAAACTGAAGTGCCTCGCCCAAATTCATATTTGAACCCTGTCAACAGAATGCCGTATTAGGAGGTCTGTGTGTCAGTTTGATGCTTACAACAGTAGGAACTGCCAGATATTAACAACATTAACAAAACATGTTTTCTGATATCAGATAAATATTTTTAATCTTACAGGTTACTCCGTTTTACAAAAATATATTCAGGCCACACAAAACTGGCCCCAGACCCAGTTTGAGGCTTGGGACATGCTCTGGACCGGGGCTTAAAGCCACTCCAAAATTCTGTAGGAACATCCAGAAATTCGCTTTTGCCTTTTTGGTCGTAGTACAGTGCAGCAGCCCATCATTTCGTATCTGCAATGCGCGGTGTAGCGTTGTAAGAGTTCGGTGAGGTCGGACGAATGCGCGGGATCTTGGATTTGAATTGATCCATCAGCAGTGACTGTCGTTCGGAATTAGCTACCGCTTTTGAACCTGGTGAGGAAGCTGAACGATGTGCCCTTGCCCGATTCCTCAGGGCCGTGATCACGGAGGCAACAAGCACTCCGGAAACGTCGGTGAGTTTCTACCAGATTACATCGAGCAACCCAGCTAATAACCATTGGCTTTTTTCCCCAATTACGCAATACGTCACTAGCCACGCGGCCAAATAGTTCCGCGTTGTACTCGTAGATGTCAGGAGACTTAGGCGTGTTTTAAATGTTGGCAGTGCCGAAAGACTGTACTTATTTAATACGCTGTGTGCATGTTCGGGTTGCGAGGCGGACTGTACTTCCTTAATGTTCCACCTGAGATGATGTGGGAGTCTCCCGGACTAGACACACTCGCTGGCTGTGTGTGACCTCATGTCATCAGTTCCACTAGACTCGTGCCGTTCGTGAAGGAAGGAAACAAGGAAACACAACATCCTCATGTTTTAAAACGCGATTACGTAAATAATTGCTTAAAAAGTGAAAATCCGAGCCTTGGATCGGGCAACGACGAGAAAGTTTAACCAGCAATCACATAAATAAATAATGCATAGACATATATATATAGTAGAAAACTATTTTCTTTATCATACATTTTTCCTGACAGAAGTTTACCAACGTTTCAGGGGTCCTTGCTGCCTCTATCATCAGGGCGATGACTACACGGCGCTACAATCCAGAAGACAACCATCTTCACTGCTCAAATGTTAGTGCATTTGTGACAAAAATGAAGGCCTCATATCATTATTCATGCCTACTTTTTGCAGCTTACAAATTTGTGCCAAATCGCCTCAGCATTTTTTTTAACTGAAATTCTATTTTAATTTTTCATCAGTCCCATGCGGACTATTGTAAATTTTAAATAAGGACCGTAAACATTTGGTCATTCATATCCGAGAACATTGTTTTCAGGGTCACTGAAATCGACTGAGGTGTATTAGCAATTTAAATTTAGAAGAGAAACAAATTACTTTAGAAAAGAGAGTGCAAATAAACGGACACGTAAGGAATTTCACTTCACTGTGATAACAATCAGAAGAATCTTGCTCTGATGGATACGTTTCACCTCGTCATCTACGCCTAGTAAGAAGAAATTAACTTTTGAAAAATTATAAGTGCTTTTGAATCCACACAATTCGGAACAGTAATTAGGCATACGAATAGGAATTATAAGTTGTATCTGAGCCACGGTCGTCTCAAACACAACTCTAGTTATGGTGGGCTTAAAGAACTTGTGTAAGAACAAAATTTATACTTTTTCCAGTCACGTGGAAATGTTAGCTGCAATCCTTGTTTTGGTTCGAAATTACCCAAAAGTCGATACGCATTGACGTTTTGGTCAGGGAATATAAATCTTTTTTTTAGCCTTCTGGCTCCAAACGTAAGTAAAAGTGGCCTTTCGTCGGAAAGAGTCCTCACGCCTGAGCTATAGTCTGCGCAGTAGTTCTTGGCCGGTGGAGAAGCTAGCGGACGGGCCTAGTCCGTGTACCTGAGGTGGCACGGTCAGTGCATTTCTTTTGTTTGGGCGTTCAGTCCGATAAGCTCCTCGATGCAGTCAGCATTATACGATCGCACAAGTGACTCGCTCCTAGCCTTCCCCTTGAAAATTCCACCGGCCAGACTACACAGCGCCAACTATACTGTAGGTAGTTAAAATTATTTGCTTCGTAGTATATCTCTGGTAAGACATTTCAATGACATCATAAAGCAGCTGGCTGTGGTCATGGCATTGCTTCTCGTTGAGGGTACGCAGTAGGCCTACTTGTTTCACCACAATGACTGTAGCTAACTGCTGATTTGCTCTACTTCCCATCTAATAATGGGTTGCAGTTTTACCGCTAGTTACACTAAATTAATCTAGTGAAGGGGATCTGGGTGAAGAACTGTTACAACACATCACACCCTTTACAATGCAATTAATTTTTTGGTCTCCATTTATGTCAGATCGAAAGAGTAGTCTGAAGCCTTGAACTCGCCATGTTGAAATTTTAATGGAATAAGAAACTGCCTCAATCTTGTAGATCGTTTGTAGAATTTAATAAAATCTGTTCCAATATTGATTTGGAGAGGTTGAACATAACCGGTTGAAACCCATTGTCATTACATTCGCTAACAGGGTTAAATTCACGAAACTTCTGGCGACGAATCAGATTTGCTGTGTTTGCTTGAAAAATTAAATGGGGTATACAGTATTTGCATCAGATTAATTACAAATAAATACGGAGCTTTGAAGCTTGCATACATATATATTTATTTATTCATTTATTATCTGTTTGTTAGTATAACATTTATTTATTGGCGTGTATATTTGTTCGTTCATTTATCATCATGTATATATTTATTTATTTGTTCCCCAACGAAGTACTGTGGGCTTCTTTCGCTAATTAAAGGCAACGGGGCTGTGAAAGACGGGTGTCAAAAATGTGTTGATATTCTCATCCCCTCTACTTCACGTAGAATACGTAACTGAAGACAGATGTCAATTGTCTTTGTCCGGTCAGCCATAATGACGTTGCCACAGACGTACAATGCGTCACACTGATGGATGCGACTACACCAATAGGCCCTGCCCTGTTTCGTAATCCACTCCCAAAGTACATTATGTGTAAAAATACACAACCTGCCGATTATCTCAAAACTACTGAAATAGTAATTAAAATACATGCGTGTTCTTGTTACTAAGTCGGATAAAAAATTGACTGGTGGATGAAATAACATTTCTGAGTCACAGCACTTGTTTGTACTTCCAAGTAGCACTGAATAAAGAATTTATATCTTAATTGCGTCATGTTTGTGTTTATTAATACAATAATTTATTTACCGTCTTTACACAAACTTAAAAATGTTGTTAAAATTACTTAAAATTATAACATTTTTTCATTAGATACTAGATCTTGTGATTTAAAGCATCCGGGCACAGCCTTCAAATTAATGGAAGGAACTTAAAAAATAAAACAAATAAAACAAATCAATATACGCAGAGCAAGAAGTGCAACAGATTTTAATTGATAGACCTGATGATGATGAGATAACATCGAAACATGTCGTCAAATGTAAAATGTAACAAGATCTAGTATCTAATGAAAAAATGTTATAATTTTAAGTAATTTTAACAACATTTTTAAGTTTGTGTAAAGACGGTAAATAAATTATTGTACTGAATAAAGAATTTGAAATAAACTTTATAACTACATAAAAAGCGATCAGTGAAAAATTGTAGTGTGTAGGGCACTCCTCGTTACATGAGTGTTCGAAAAATGCTATTTAATTTCAAGGCGCTGAACCGAAATAGACCGATATCAATTTAAATAACATCACAGTTTCAAACAGCGGACTTTGACTTTGCTTCTATATTATAAGCAATCCATTGCAAAATATGCGTTTACGATATTATGTCGTGATTTCTCTTCCTGTTCCTTTCGGAACAGAAACGGTTTTCGTGAAACAGAACATATGTTAATCTCACAACTTAATTATCTAACTTTACAAATCGTGTGCCTTAAAGTCTTCTTTAAGTAAGGTAAATCCATTCCGTAACCGTGTACTGGAATGTGTGCACGTTACACTTGGTTCTGTGGCGGCGCACTGCAATCGAATTCTGGTATAGTCGGACTTACTGATTGCTACATGAAGTAGTTGCGTTGTTGTTTTACGCGGTACAAAGAATTAACGCGACCAAAGTTGAATATCAGTAGAAAATCTGTTACCATACGTCATTTCAGGGCCCTCTCTATGCGACGTAGCGCCACTAGCGTTTGTGCGTCCGTGATATTGGTACTACCGACTGTAGAGACAACAAAAGTACGAGTGTCAGGTATGACATAACGTCCATACCAAGTTTCATCAAAATCCGTATAGCTTTTCTCGAGGGCGGGGAGGCAGACAGACAGACGCGGTCAACTCCACGAGTTTTCTATTCTATTATTAGAATTTTAAGAACAAAGTTTCTGATTTTGTTATTGAGTTCACGTAGTATTTGAAGTGATGCTAGAAAGTGAGGCCCTCACAGCGGCAGGTATGAAGATTCTTCTTTGTTGTTGTGCCATAGTATAGTGTGGTTAAAATTTAACGACGTTTCAGAAGTATTTGCTGTCTCCATCATCAGGGTGACAACCCAGAAGACAGCCATCTCAGTGCTACAGAGTTGGAATCTCATTGTAGTGCATTTTCCATTGTCTCACGGCAGCACAGCATGCAAACCTATTTCATGTAGGTATGTTGTGGCTCTGTTTTTATTGCATTTTTATCACATTATACCAGAAATCAATCATTGAAGCTGTTGTTTCACCATTGCAGATACAGAAAAAATCTTCTTGTATCAAGGAATTGATTTTTTCTTAAGGAGAAATATAATCTAAGTGTCAATTACCTATCCCAAAAATAATGTAATGTAAAAAACTAAAGAAATTAATCCTCATTAATATGTCACTCATAATGCTTCTTTCAATGACCGTGATGAGAACTATACCTTAAAGGATTTACTAGGGGACAAAATCAACTTTAGATTTGTGATTTTTATGGAATATTTGTTACAAAATCAGTTAGCATTCATATTTAAAGCTGCCATTAGATAATTTATTTTCAGAACCCCTGAAACCTCCTCCCAATCATATGAGCTGTGAACTAGTTAAGTGATGAAACCTCTGAACTTGAAAGCAAGCAGTAACTTATTTACTGTATTTAAAGTGCCCTATATTATATTTAATTTTTTTTTTCATTATTGGTTATATCAGTGTTTTCCAGTGGTGACAAGATCGATTGGTTTGATATAAATTAAATAGAAATTGCTGAATAGTTACATTTTTAATTAAATTAATTTTAATGTATTTCACTTCTTTCATAGCATATATCTCAATTTACTGGTGGATTTAAAAAATTGTCAGTTTTAAAAATTATTTGAAAATAACTTGTATCAAAGTTGTAGGCTGCACTTGGCTGTATAAAATGTGAAACCTGCTAAGGTGTTCAATTTGTATAATTTTTTTCCCTAGAAAAATCGTATAGTTAATTCTGGGTTAGTGAAGTTTTTAAATATAAAAATTCTGCATATATATTTTGTTATTAAAAAAATCTGAACTTATATGGTAGGACTGTGGTTCAAACTTCAGTAAAAGTAAAATTACTACATTAAAATGTTGATGTCGATATTTAATTTAGGCATGCTGCTGCTAACAGCACCATCATTACCACATTATAGCACTCTTAAATGACTTTTAAATTAAATTAAAAATGTGTTTATAATATTTTAGTTTATGTTATATTTGTGCTAACATTTCACTGTTATTTATTTTGCTTATAATTTAAAACAGATTATATAGCAAGAACTCACCTCTACATATCTTCTCTCTTGTGTGTAGCCCAGTGCAAGCTGCAGAAATGCTATCACTATTGGTATGGACACTACACATCTCATCCTTAAAGCAGAGTACCTTGACTGTTATTGGCTACTGCACTCAACTCTAGCACAGCTGTGTTCCTCTCTTCGCTGTCACCTCTTGTCAACTGACAGTAGCCATGCAGGATGGCTGTGAAGCAATAATCTTGTGCTTCCAGGTGACACAACTTACTGGCTGTACTATCATTAACAAAAAAGTCAAGGTAAATTATTGGTCTGTGCATTGGTTTCTGCTTTATGAACACACATGTTATAATTCATTTCATAATCCTGTGTTCTTTAAAATTATTTCTTCACCTCTGATATGATAAAATCTAACAAATTTTGCAGAATTTTCTTCATTCTCTTTAGTCAAACCTTGTAAAACAGCCTGTGACAAATTACGGGAGACTAAACGTTTATTTAATATTTTATCAAGCTACCTACCGGAACTAGGATTTTATTTTGTTCTCTTGGCAATGCAGTCAAATTCTAGAATTGTACTCTAGAATGTCATAAGTGTTTTTGTTATGTTTTAAAATATTAACCAATTTATACTTCGAACCACAACATTATTTAACAGAGCCGTGTACAGGACAGTGTAAATTGACACCTATTAGCATTTACAAATGTAAAGTAGCTGTAGCTGCTAACTGCTTTCTGGGGTCAGTTGAATGGTTGACCCATTGTAATCTGTGAAGAATGGTGTAGTTCTGATGAGAGGAAAAGAAAGTGTGGTAGGCACTTTTATGTAAGGAGCTATCCTGGCAATATCTGGAGCAAATAAAGAACCAAAATAATCCTGAGTCTGTCATGCAGAATATTTGGCAGCAATCAAAATTCAAATCAAGTACCAACCAGATACAAATCAAGTATTTTGCCATTATGCCATATATTGTATATCCCAGCCTTCTGCGGAACCCAAAGGTCCATTACCATATTCGTAAAAGTTGAACTTCAAATAAACTTGCACATTGATGAATGAGTGCCAGACGAAATAAGAGCTTCCTGGGAAAATTCCCACTATATCAGGCATTAAATGTATACTAACATACTATATTTTGGTCACAATTTTTCTTATATTCATAGTAATGTATCACGATGAAAATTCCATCAGGAGTTTCATTCTAAGATATATTTAGTGGATAAATTTATGTCTCAGAGCTTTGTGTGATACAGTAGGACACAGAATATAAAATTGGCTCTACCACCATATCGGTTTAAGCAACAAAGAGTTTGGAAGTGCCCAAAGTTTCCCAGAAGGCTTGTGCTCTATACTAAAGCAGCTGAGATTTATAATGACTTTTTCAGTCTCTGAAGAAAAACGTCAAGATAATGCCTCATTATACTTCATTACTGTTCCTTTCTGATCCATTACAATTCACATTCATAAATGGAAGATCCATAACCTTAGTAAGTGATTTTAAACAGGATAAGAATTAACCAATCAATTAATAAATTATTTTCTAAGTAGAAAATTCTTATATGCTTTTTAATGTCCTTATTGTCCTGCTTAAAGTTGATATTACCACAATATTTTTATCTTCAGTAATGTATATTTTTTAAGACAGTACAGTTGTGCTTTGTTCAGAGGCAACGTAACTATGACAATATTCTGTTCATGAGCATCAGAAATGATGTAATGCAAACTGTGTAAATTAACTTAAAAATTAAGTTGCTTAATAATAATTAAGTTCCATTTTTATATTACATGCTTTATTTTATTACTGTGTTTTCTAAATTTTTAATTCAGTCTTCATGCACACAAAAGACTAAACTAACATTCTTTTAGATGAAAGTCTGGGATAAAGAATTATTCTGTTTGTATATGTTTTTGGAATGCATGATACAAGAAACCAGAGAAGCATGAAGCGAATCCAAATGACATGGGCCACAAGCATTGAAGGAAATTAGGAGGAGATGGTAGGAGGAGAAATAGCAGAAGTGGTTGCTGAGCTGATTTTATAATTAAAAGGTTCCAAGTTAAGCTAACTGAAGGCAATTACAGGTGACTGATTGTTTAGGATGGCCCAACTACCAATTTCAACATGTGACATATAAAATGCATAAAATCTATCACTTTTAACTTTTATTTATTAAAATATAGATCATCTGTTTCTTTGGGTGGAACTTGGTAGACTCAATGCAAACCACTTAGAGACAGGAAGTTTTGAGGTGGTGTCATGAACAGTGGAGTAGAACTAAAAGGTAACGTTTCTTCTTGTGACTCTAAAACCAGTCACCATGCCCCAATAACTTTATGCTACTCAGAAATGAGTCATAAAATTTTATATTACGCTAGTGGTATTCATACTATGAGAAGCAACTCCTTATAGAGCAAGGGGATTTCCAGAATTCAATCAGAGAAGTCTGATGAAGAAAATTCATGAAATTTCTAACTTATCATTATTATTCTAAACTATCATTATCATCATCATTACTATAACCAGAAAATTGTTATTATTGTTGCCATGTTACCATTGTTACAATTATTATTCCAGTTGTGATTGTCGTTTTTGTAACTGTCTTAATTTTCCTCCCCCTAATTATTACTGTGTTTGTTGTTATTCGTCAAATTTCATGCTATTTGTCAGATTGGATGGCAATCTTAATGTTGTTATAAAGGGTTGCTCTGATACATTTGCACCTTTACTTAAGCTTATTTTATAACCTTAATATGTCCACACAGACAATCCCTTGTTGCATGAAAAAAAAATCATTATACTGTTTTTTTAGAAAGGGCTGTGGAGATTTATTATAGCCCTATTATCATTTAGACTGCTTTTTCAGAAGTATTTGAATTAATCATATATTAGCATATTTCCCATTCTTTTAAGCCCAAGTAAAATTCTTTCCAGCATGACTTTACAAAATTTACGTAAACTACTACAAATTTCATCTTTTATCTTAACACTCCTATTATATGTTCCCAAGGACAAGGCCATTCCATCTGTTTTTATCTAAGTATTGATTTTGATTTAGTTTTTGGTTCTATAGTTAACTAACTAATAGACTGTATAATGTTTTTGGAATTTGTCACCTTTCACTGTGCTATATAGTGTTCTTCAAGGTTCTGTTTTGGAACTTTTGTTGTTTAATGTTTCATTGATGATGTATGTAGTAAAATTATATAATTACCCGTATAAAGTTACTGGTTTACATCTCATAACCAGAGTTAAAATCTAAAATTTTGTGTCACTACAGTTATCTTGATAGTTCCATCTACATGCATTTGAGGTCCATCTTGTGTGCATTTTGGAATTACTTCCCAGAAAATACATACAGAAAAACTCTTTCACCTGCTTATTTTCATGTGGCTAATTACTTTTGTTTCATACAGTGCTAATTTTATCTTGATGGCAGAATGTGGTGGAGTATCACAGTTCCACTAGCTTGAATCTTGTGTCCTCAGAGTAGTGTCACATTGTTATTAGTGCCTCTTGGTTGAGCATCCAGGTGGTGACATCACTACATCGGTCACCTTGTCTTCTTTTGTCTCTCTTGTTTCTTAAAAATGCAGACTGAATCTGTCCACATCAAAGGTAGAATCTAACATCCACGTACTCAAGTACACACGTGAATTATATTAAAATGTTTTATAAACAGCTTGCCAGAACAAGGAACATTACACAAAATATGCACCTGATTAAAGCTTGTTTGTTAAAATTCCATAATCAATGTTTCTTGTTCATTTTTATAAGTCTTCACTGAAAAATTTGTACACTGTCCCATAATTTGGTTACCGCATCAGAAATAAATCTGTTATCATTCGCCATTGTAACAGTAACAACCACAACAGCAATAATACTAGTAGTGGTGACAAGTAACTATGGAGAATGACGATAATGGCAATTCATTCTTCTTTTCCATTATTTTTTCAGTAAGATGCATTTCATTTTATGATTATATGACTCTTCAGGTTCTGTGACTTCTAAAGTGACTACATGTTAGTTTGTTGGGAGGTAACAATTTGTCACACTTGCTCAAGTGCCTGAGAAAAATCTTCTAATATATAATATTGCTGCAGTTACAATCTGTTTGAGGATGCGATGGCATCCATTTATTCTGGTTTCAACAGTTGTGTTTCCCATAAAAAATTGTGAGTGCTTCTTCCCTATCAATCCATCTACTAACAGAGCTACTCTGTTAAATAATTGGAATTGTATCAGTATGAAGAAAATTAGAGCTTGGATCACTGACCTATGGATTGAAATTATGCTCCTCTATAATTGAACTGAAGCTTTGTTAATGTAAGTGCTTTAACAAAAATACTCAGTTACTTGAAACTTCTTTTTAAGTTATGTTATTTCTAATAATTTTCAATAAACAAAACATTTCAAAACACTTCATACTTTACCATATAACGTTTTAATGTTATGACATTCATTCAGTGGCAGCTTTCACTTTCCAAATGAAAACTTTCAGTATGTGAAAGAAAAAAAAACGACTTAAGATTTGAGGTTTTCACAGCGGTGAGTATGAAGATTTCTGACTACACAGCGCAACAACCCAGAAGACAGAAATCTTCAAATTATAAGTTACCCGAGAAACTGTTTATTATACATGCTAATGTAACCCATCATTTTATGTGACCTATTGATGCAACTGCTATTGAAGACAGATTACCATCCTAAAAGACAAACAAGAATTTAACAGTCTGTCAAGCATAAATATGCACGCAAGTTGCATTTAGTTAACGTATGAGTATCACTTCCTAGCCTAGTTGCAAAATGTGTCATAAGAGTGAGTAATACTGCAGTATTGGCCTTAAAAGTAAATTCTCAGGATCCAAGGAAGCAGAAATATGAAGCCAGAACATTACAAAATAATGTGGCTGTCATGAATCTTTAATGTGAACTCCACTGTCATTACTGTAAACCCATCTTCATACCAAGACCATGGATTGAAAACTTTCATGTGAGCAAGGATGTTTGTCTTTTGTTTTCTGACTTGTCCTCTGAAAGTAGTGTGCAAGAAAGTTGCAAGCCTCAATCATACATATTGCATGTATTTTGCCACTCTGAAAGTGATGTAAATCATGCTATTTCCATATAGAGATAAGGGTCCTGACCCTACAGTTCTGTCAAGTATACGGTACATAATCCTACATATGAAAGTGCTGACCAAATGTACACAAAATTAATTCCTGTTCTGAAATTTGATGTTATCACAGTGGTGAAGATGTTGATTGTTGTCTTCTTGGTTGTGACACCATTTAGTCTTGTAGGTGGTAACCTATCTTAGTTTATTTAATATAACACAAGGCAGAATATCTGATGTTACTGATATTTTAAGAGTAATGCTCTACAACTTTCTTTACAATATACAGGGTGTATATAAATTATCTTTACAGGTTTCCTCGTGAATAAAAGCCTTTATAAAAATAAAGAGGCGCACTGTTTGAGCGTCATCTGCGAAAGAAACTTTCAAAGTTTCAACGAGTTCCTGGTAGATGGTACTGTCCGTTGTTTTCCACTGCACTGCATCCGTCTTTGTGAATCAAGTCGGTCGCCATGAACCCGCAGGAGAAGGTACAATGTGTGGAGTGGTTTATCAAAACGAAATCGAATACAATGGTCCAAAGACGTTTCAGAAGACGCTACCATCGATTCTAGCCTGGAACAAACAGTTTAAGGGGCCTGGAAATATTTTGCATAAAGAAGGTACAGGTCGCCCACGTGTGTCTGATGAAAATGTCGAAAGGATAAGCAGGTTCTTTGTCCGTTTATGTCTTTATGCTTACAAGTTACGAGTGGTGTAGGGCCTGGCGTAATTGCCTCGCCAGATGATAAGGTAGCCCGTAAGGAATTTGCAGTGACCATGCTTGAGAAACTGAACGAAGACAACGAATTCCGCGAGGAAAATAATTTTCTTTGACGAGGCTACATTCCGTGTTTCAAGGAAGGTAAACAATGTACTCATCTGTGTATCAGACCACCCTCATGATACAGTGGAGCACGTTAGAGACGGACCACAGGTAATGTGTGGTGTGGCATGTTGCATGATCGTTCAATCGGACCTTTTCTTTGCCGAAGTGACTGACATTCAGCAGTTGCCTGGGTATGATGGAAAACTGTCAATCCACAGTTACAAGTACTGCAGCCTGTCGTGTTCTTAAACAAGACGGCGCACTACGACCCTGAAGCTTGAATGTGCCTGCATCTCTTAATCAACATTTCTCAAACCGATGGATTCGCCGGCCAGATCACGGGATATCAAACCATGTGATTTTTTCCTTTGAAGATACGTATCAGACTGTGTATCGAACACAAGTGGCCGACATCAACAATTTGGTGGGCAGAATTACAGCTGCTACTGTAACAGTTGGCGTTGACATGCTGTAGCATACATGGATGGAGCTTGAATATTGTTTGGACATTGTACGTGTGACAAATGGTGCCCTTGTTGAATGTGTGTAATGCTCAGAACAAACTTTGAAAGTTTATCTCGCAGATGTCCCTAAAACAGTGAGTATATGTCTTTTCATAAAGATTTATTCACAGTAAAAGTCGTTAAGATAATTTATATACACCCTGTACATCCAAATTTAATGCCACGTTTGTTGCCAGTTTTATAGGTAAAAATGTTTGTGAAATTACTGTACAACATTTCATGTCAAGTTCAGTAACATAGATAAGTAATTGTGCAGTTATGAACTGATGATCCACTTATCCCAGAATGATATAGGATGACGTAGGAATTTAATAAACAATTATGGCATTTCATATTTCGATTATCTTTATATTTTTTCATTCCTTAAAAAGAGTTTTAAAAAATCATATGCCTATAAATATGTTTATACATTAATACTCTCACATATCATATGGCTATTAATAGGACAGTACATAAAGTTACTAGTACAGGATTCTACACACATAATCTCAGTACAACTAGCCAACCACATACTATATAAGTATTTGTAATAGGCCTACAGATTCTTTAATTTCCTGTATGTAGGTCTTACATGTATGAGAAGGCTTCCCATTTCGCATTATTCATGGAGACGTGTGACGTTTAAACACAATATTTTATTCCCAAGTAAAAGGAAATACACCGACAAAGTGTAAAGAAATTTAAATGGCACATCATTTTTAAATTCCAAGTTTACAGGATCACTATCTTCATCAAATTATTAAAATTATAACAAGGATGTTTACCATCAACTTACACCCTCTTATCATTCAGGAACTAGATAAAGTAATTGTACTTATAACAAGATTGGCAAAGAACTGTGCAATAAGCTGTATGCTCGTACGTGACATACACCACTGCATCTTGTAGTCAAGTTCTTTTTCTCTGTGCTAATATAAAAACACTGAAACCCTCATTTCAGAATAAAATTCCATACTAAGAAGTGGTTCAAGAAACATTTCACAACAACCAATGCAGATTTCTGTAACAGAACCGCAATGGACTCTACAAATTAAGAAGGAGCTGAGGAACTACTTAAAATTGTTCGATTAACAATTTTCAAATGTAGTAATTCTTTAATAGTAAAATCATATATAGAAAATAAATCTTACAAAGTGAAATTTGCTTTGGGATTGTCTGTGTTAGAAAATGCCAAAGATAAAACTGTGAAGTCGCCTCACTTCTCAGTGGCTCAGTAATTGTAAGCCTGCCTTGGAATTCCCTGGATTGCAGCACTTCTTTATATTAGCTTATCATTGTTTTCTCACCAGTCATTTTTCATCTTATATTATTGCTGTGTGATAAGTCTGTGTACCACTTCCTGTGTAACTTAATTTCACAAATATGCACAGCATTATGTACCACGTAAATTTGTAGTTCAAGGTTATAATTAAGATTACTATGTATGTTACAGTAAAATAATGTAACGACTCAGAAACACAAGCAAAGAAGCTGTCTCTACAATGATTAAAGCATTACTGATGGCACATCTGTGTCCCAAAGAAGTGTTAGGACAGATTCTAGCTGATTTACACATACCATGTCTTAAACTTGCAAGTGGTAAGTACAAAATATCTTCTGATATAATTTTTGGACTTTTAATGGAACTTATCTGCAAACAGAATGTGGTAAAATAAGACCAAATTATATGTAATTTAAAGCAGACTAAATTTTGGGAATGGTTGCTCCTGCACAGTTCAGAATCCTATCTTCTCATTTGCTAACCAAACATGTAAAGATTAAAATATGCAAACTATAATTTTATCTTTTGTTTTGTATTGATGTTAAACTTGGCCTTTTGCATTACAGGAAGAACACACATTGAGGTTTTTGAGAACAGGGTGCTTAGGAAAATATTTGGACCAAAGAGTAATAAGTGGCAGGAGGGTTGAGAAAATTGCATAATGAGGAGCTCCATAACTTGTACATATGGACAGGGCATGTAGTGTGCATGACAGAAATGCCGATAAAATTTTGCTAGAAGGCTTGATGGGTTGAGACCACTCAGGATACCTATGTATACATGAGAGGATGATAATGAAATTGGGTTTAAGGGTGTGGATTGGATTCATCTGGCTTGGGAATAGAGATTTGTTGCAGGCTCTTGTGAACATAGTAATGAACCTTCAGGTACCATAACAGCCATAGAATTTATTAACTCACTGAGTGTACTGTTAGCTTCTCAAAAACAACTTTTCTTCATGGAGTGGGTGAATGAGTTACTTATAACTAAAGATTCATGTCAGGATGCTCAGTCAGTCTGCAAATTTCAATAATGAATAATTTGTGTGTGTGAGAATGAATGTTATCAGAATTGTCTAAAATACTGATACTGAAATACCGATTATTCATATTCATGCTGTAGAAATTATTATGTGCTCATGTTATGCATAAAATTGTTCAAATGCTTCAGTAACATGGTAGTTCAGAGCATTGTTCTGTTGAAAATAAAGCTAGCATCATATGTGTGTTATGTAAGCAAAATGTACAAAAAAAAACAGATTTTGATTACATTCTGAAGTTTAACATACAGACTTCAATCAAAAGTATTTTGGAGAACTTAGAAAACAAAACATTTCCTCTTTTTTCAGTCACTGAAATTACAATAAAACGTTTAAAAATATTTTTGTGTCATGAATAAACCACTGAAGTGAATCTTGATATAGCCAAATTAATAGTCAAGCCAGTGGAGCCTTTTCTTTGGCTTAATAGCACTGATTATATAAGAAAATGGTCCCATTTATTTTGTCTCCATAAGTCTGTTTTAGGGTCATGTTTCAAGAAATCAAGTAGAAACCCCATTCAGTTCAGGTACCATCGAGTCGGGGCCGACCCCTAGTGACATTATGAACAAAATCCCTCTATCCTCTTCTGTCTCTAGTAACTGTCCTCAGTTCTTCCATGGTCTTTCCACAGAGTTCCCTGATTCCTCAATCCATGTCATCCTGGGTCTTCCTCTATGCCTACTACCTTCCACTTTTCCAGGCATTATCGATTTTTCTAGACTGTTATCGGCTCGTATGATATGACCGAAGTACTTTAGTCTTAATTTGCAGATTGTGGCCTCAAGGGAACAGTCAGGCTTAATCTGCTCAAGAAACCCCATAGATGGACAGAAATAAAAATAATGCTCTGGAAAGTATTATAATGGAAGGCACATGACTTAAATTCAGAATTTATTTTCAAAATTAGAGTCTATACCTTTAAATTAGCAGATTTTTATATTTTGCTTTTGTTTCTGAGCCAAGAATTTCAATGTATTTCTTATAAAACATTCTCTGCACAAAATGTTATAAACTACACAATATGCTTTATGTTTAGTGTAAACAAATATAAATACAGTTACAGCAAAAATCACAATACATAATGATCAGTTCTTGTTAAAATACTGAGGTATTTCCATAGCCAAATATTTTTAAAACCAGTTATATTCAGTAGAAAGTCTCAATCACACCATACTCATAGTTACAGATTTTTAATGAACTTTATCAAAGACTGGACATTTGTGGTATATACTAATTAAATTCATAAGTTTCCTACAAAACAGGTTGTGAGGCATATTAAATTGTTCCAAACATGAAATGAAGAATGTAAGTCTCGAAGATTGTAACTGTTCTTGCATTTTAAAGTCTCATACTTTTATACTAAGCTTATGGTGATTAATGCTCACATAATAAATCTTGCAGGGAACAGAATTAATATCAGTAATGCAAGTTATTATAGTCACCACAATAAAGTGAAGAGATTTCACTCTTTCTTATAATAAAGCATGTAAATGCATCTGAACACAATATAATTATTATTATGCCTTATAGATGGGACATATTCACGAGAAATACTGTCCCATGAAAATCTGAGGAAGCATACACAAGAAGGCAAGGCACTGTAATCATTTAACTTTTCTCATGTCATTAGGTATCAGTAACACAAAAACCTTACCTCACCACACCACCCTCTCACCAGAACACAGTACAACAGGTTACCAGTTTGTTTCATCTCTAGTCTGCTTTTGATGTGGCCTTATAGGAATCTAGAGGTATACAGCACTTAACATGCTTCATCAGTAAACTTCACTTTTCAAGAAGTATAGAAAATGAAACAAAGAAAGAAGACAGAAAATTAGGCATTATAAGGCCCAACAAATACTGATGGAAAGGTAGATCATGTTTATCATTAAGTCATCGCCTAACATAGTCCACATTCGTGAGGCAGTGAAACTACCACTGAACAAAGTTGCCAAGTGGTTATCACCCCTCCTTCATATTTGAGAGATTCTACATTCAAATCTCAGCCAAGAGAACAGCTATCCTGAGGTTTCTCAAGCAATTCCTTAGTCCATGATAATACCTTAAATCAGGCCACAAGCACTTCTTCCGTATGCTTTCAAGTGTATTATTCACTAAGCATCCTGTATGTTTACATTATATAGTCTGATACGCCATTTTTAAATAAAATGCAAATATATACAAATAAGTAAAGATACCAATAATCTCAAACTACAGGAAGAATCTCTGGGATAAGCATCCTGCCACTGTTAACTTGATTGGCAAATATTAGTGAGTGCTGACTCAGCTGTTGGGAACAGTTCTTCTATGTACAACATACATATCAGTAATATTAATGTATTCCATTTATCACCAGTGAATATTATACAGAGTGATTCGATGTTAGACATACAGATTTTAGTGGTGAAATCTACATCCAGAAGGAATGATGTCACTTCATATAAACATTGGGCAGTAAATCCTTACTTTTCAAGTTACATGCTGGAATTTGACAGACAAAGCACCTGGTGAGAATAACAGTGGTGACGAATACTAATATTCTTGAAATGTTGAATGCAAACAGAGCATTTAATGTGCTCTAAGATGGTGCTAGTTGCTGTCACATTTAACTGCATTACCTTCACATCTGTATATAATGGCTGGCTAGCAAGGTGCGATGCCTGTCAGATGTACAGATGAAGACTGGTGAGGGTAAAAAGAGTTGTTGACAAAGCAGTGCCACACAAACAGACCAATACATTCAAAATCAGATTCCTTGATGAAAAGAGGGCGGATGCAGTTAGCTGTTCTGAATATTCACAAATTTATGATGAAAGAAGCACAGGAGGCAAAGGGACAAGTGCCTTCAGAAAACCCGCTGAAACTGCAGAAGAGCATGGAAGAGAAAACTAAGTTTCTGGAAGGCAATTAGAAGAATTTTAGGAGACCAGAGAAAGTATGAGTCCAAGGAACTTCATTCATTTTACCTGGTAAAACATCCAAAGTGATGAAACGTGTCTGACATAGAGGTTTCCCGATAAGTGTCATTCAACACTTAATTCATAAATGTCAGCAACTATCTCTAAACTATTTCTGAGACTGAGTGACAGAATTTATTTCAAAGGCAGTAGAACTAGTTTGAGAAACATTGTGATGGAGCTTCGTTTTGTGTTGGAGAAGACAAGAAATAACAGGACGGTCTTGACTGAGAAGCACAGCGTTAGATGTTCTCCATGCAGGAGGTGACCATGGTTTCCCAATGCACTAGTTATCTTTAGTTGAGACTATAATGATCACAATCTGTTCTTTTTTGTTTAAAACATTGCTTGTAAAGATTGTCACCGCCTGTTACGGGATGTATATATCAGGTCTAATTTTCTTTACATGGACTGTACTTCTTGGTGGCAGATGACAAAACATTATTATACTATGGAGAAGTGACTTGCTCCTAGCCTTCCATTTGAAAATTTCACCAGCCAAAAATTTTTGTAGCCACAGTACTTAGTTTCTTCCTCTCTGTTTATTTCTAGACCTACTGCTTACTATAACCTAATAGAGAATCTATGATTTTGCCCAATAAATTATCATCAGCATGGATTAGAAGGTGATTCAATTCCAATCCATCTGTATTTAAAAACAAGCTCATAAAGTATATTCCATAATATCATAATGCTTTCTTTTCAGCATGCATTTAGAGGTATTAAATGTGCCTTGATTGATAGTTCCCACTTTGGCCACCAAACTGTAGAACCTAAATGTCTACCTCACGACTTTCTTCATCCATCATTTTATCATCACCACTTGTAGGTTAATGAAAAGTGTAATTTTGAGGCCATACAGAATACCATAACCTCCACATCAAATTTTATCGAAACCCACTTAGTGGTTCTCAAGTTGAATCGACTGGACATACTGATGGCTGGTCACACACAACCAACCCATAATGCAGTCTTGCTATGCACTTCATGCAAAAGAACGCATAATAGTGGAACCATAAATTGTCTCAAAAATTACAATATGCAAGGCATACAACTCTTTTATAAATATGTGAATGGAATTTTGTGAGTTCAATATTCATCAGAAATGCTGTACAACATGTTTTAAGTTTTCTTTCCAGAGATAAATAGTATTTATTTATGAAGATTCATAAATTATGCTTGTTTTATAGCACTCTAAGGAACAATGCATTTACATACAGTATTTTAAATTGTTACTTCATTTGCCTTTTCTTTGCTTCACTGACTACAAATTATCAGTAAAAGGGGAATTAGAAATCCTTTCTAAAAAGGATGCAACAGTGGGATACAAATGATAATGGTAAAAATATGTTTCAGGTTAGCAACATACACAATTAAAAAAACACAGTATTTGTTCATATTAGCCATATTTACACCTACAACTTGAAATTTTCTGGACACCTAGCTCATGAGTTACAGCAATAATTATAGCCTAGACTGTTCAGAAGTGTTCAGACTCTTACTTCACCATGTCAACACAGCCTTCTCTCAAGGGGTACTGCTGAAAAGATGGTCACAGCATAAAGCTAACTGCTTACCTCTTCTTAGTACCTCAATTTAAAGACTGAAAATTACATCTAATCTGTATGGTATAACAAACAGGAGAGACTATATCTATCTTTTGTTAAGTTGTTGGTTCAAACTCAAGCCTTAGTAATAACTAGTAAACCACAAAACTACTACTATTTCAGAGCAGCCTTGTGAAACAAATGTTAATGTTTTCTACCAAATATATCAACATGCTAAGTTTACAAGTAATTTTTTATCTGAAACACATTGTGAAATAGACCTTTTAGAAACTTACAGATATGAATCAAGTTTTGAAACAAGTGACTGAGTTGTTGTTATTATTGGAATAAACAATAATCTTGTCTTTATTTATATTCATATTTAAAACAGAGACTAAAATAATGCAGATTCAATCATACTTTGAAGTAGTATATATCAGTTGTGTAACATTATACAATAAAATTATAAAAAAATATACCAGTATAACAAATCTGCTTAACTTTGGAGGCTAATGTGAATGCTGTAACATGTCACATGACATAAAAGATCTCTTGAAGGAACACATAAATCATATGCACAGTAATTCCTTAATTACCAATATTTTTGTCATTCATGGCTGTAACAATTGACCAATCAGAGTTGAGCCAGAGACTGTGTGTTGCCACATGGTGGTGCTCCATTTGGCTGATAGCTTGCAGCACTGAATGTTAAAGGGGGAGGGGGTGGGAGAGGTTCCTGTGGCTGAAGTACAGGACCCACTAAAGCCAGTGGAGCTACTGTTAAGGGAGAAGGCTCAATTCCTGATTTGGGTTTCCTCCTCCTGCGTTTCTTTCCATTTGTAGCCCTTGGTGGTCTGTCATGATGACGAACATGATATGAGAGGCTTGAACTTTGTGTGAAAGCTTTACCACAGTTCAGTGGGCATACATAAGGTCGTGCACCTGTATGGCGAAGTTTATGGGTTTTTAGAGTTGATTTACGGTAAAAAGACTGGTTACACTGATCACATGGGAAGGGGCGCTCATTGGAGTGTTTCCTGGCATGGCACTGGAGGGTATATTTCTTTGCGAAGCTTCGGCCACAGGCTGTGCATAGGAAAGGTTTTTCTGTCGAATGGGCACTGGCTTTATGGATCCTCAAATTACCACGATTAGAATACACTTTTCCACACTGATCACAAACACTTGGTTCAAAATCACGTGCTCGCCTTTTGTAAACCTTTGGTTTATCAGGGTCTGTATTATGACGAATACGTTCGTGAGTGCTCAGTGCACCACGAGTAGAAAATGCTTTGCCACATACAGCACACATATGTGTTTTCTCTCCAGTGTGTGTAAGTCGATGGTTCTTCAAAGTGAAAGCCCTGTCAAATGAACGTCCACACAGATCACAGCTAAATGGACGCTCATTTGTATGTTTACGGTTATGAACTTTAAGACTGTCCTTCTTGGCAAATGCCTTCCCACATGTTTGGCACACAAATCGTTTCAGACCAGTGTGGGTTGCTTCATGTGCTTTCAGACAAGTCTTAGTTGGGAAAGCTTTTCCACATGTCACACAAGCAAAATCTCTTGCACCAGTGTGAACAGTTTCATGACATTTTAGGGCACTGGCACATGTAAAAATTTTGCCACAAGTCAGGCATTCTCGAGGTGGTCGGTTTGCCAAACCATGAGCTGCTCGTTTATGTTGTGTGTAAGACTGTTTACAATCAAAGTTCATGTCACAGAGCACACAGTGATAGCTAGAATCGCCCGTGAATTCATCAGTTGTAACGTCAGCTTCTTCATCGTCACCCTTGCTCTCGTTCAGAGTTGCTATAGTATCAGATCTGTAATAATTTAAATTTTACAAACATTAGCAGAAATCTGAGACATATAGTTCAAAATCACAGAATTTCTCAACTAACATTGCAATGCTACACACATAATTCTTACAAATAGCTTCTAACTATTTAACAAAAACTACAATTTTATTATATACCCTTGTGTTATTTACTTCAGGCATTTATCCTGATAGTGTAAATAATTGTTCTCAGATTTTATATATGCATTTTTGTAAGTGAAGACCTCCCACCATGCAAACTGTATATGAAGAATTCACATACCCTGGTTCTTCCTTTACAGTTTCCTCTGATGATGTCTGCACATGCATGCGAGCATGTCTCTGGGCCTGGCTCGATGTGGAGAATGCCTTGCCACATCCTGAACATGTAAATGGCCTTAGTCCACTATGAATACACAGGTGTACCATGAGGCTGTGCTTGCGAGTGAACATAGCCTTGCACACTTCACATTCAAACCGTTTTGTGGCACTTGAATCACTTGACATTACACCACGTTTTGCTGATCCCTTAGGCCTACCAACTTTTCTCTTTGCAGGCTCATTATTTTCTTCTATCTTAATTTCCTTTGTTCTTGCTTCACAGCTGTCTTCATTTTCACTTGATTCAGAATTATCATCTATATACAGACCATCATCAAGCTTATCATCACTAGAATCATCTTCAATGTTCGAAGTGGCTTTCACTACCGATTTTCTGTTCCCAACTTTAGATTTATTCCTGTATGCCCTCTGGCTGTAACGATTGTTACTTGATTTGGAAGCAAGGTGGGCAGCATTTCTAGAATTTGAGATTTTCTGAGTACCTCTTGGGATACTTTCATCATCACAGTCCAAATCTGTTTCTGTTTTACAAATCCCATTATGACAGGGTATATTTACAAAATGTGTGTCAACATAGGTTTGTAAATCATTTGTATCAACTGATGCTGCGGAGGTAGATGTCACTCGTTTGAGGTAGTCAAGATCCCTAGTGTCTGTCGAAACAGTTTTAGTCTGTTTCACACACTCTTGCTTATAAAATTCATAGTGAGCCTCCAAGTCACTTGTATCTGTTGCTATACTCCTGTTTGAAAAATTAATACTCTTTGTTTTTTCCTTGATATAGGAGTCTAAATCATATGTGTCAATCCCTACACTTCTACTGTTATCACTAGAAGAGTAATCACTCATTTCCCTTTGTTCAGTCTTGATAATTAAATCCTCATGAGTCATGCTGGTGATTTGGTTAAGAACTTGAACTTCTGTTGATGCTGACATACATTAACTGTTGAGAATTTCATTTCTGACTCACCTGAAAAAAGAAATAGGAAAATACAACATAATGCAGAGACAAATGTCTCTTTCCTGAACAAAAAATAATAGTTTTTCTCTTCTCCCGCAATAAGGAACGGAAACTTCTATTAGTAAAATTCTTATTACACCAAGAATAAAAACTGTTAACCAAGAAACAAAACAGATATGTACATACTTTTAAAGACTGATATTGGAACCATAACTGTATATTATAAATGTGAAAATCAGGAAGTTTAATAAAACAGGATTGCAGACTAAAACCAAAATCAACTGAATAATCAACTACACAGGCATATTTTACTTTGAACTTAAGACAAGGTCACACTGCTACTTTCCCTTTCTTATGTATCTTCTAAAGAAAGGTCCAAGTGCCACAGTTATAAATCACTCATATATGGATTGCATGTGTGAAATTTCCCAAACTACAGCCAACTGCCAAATGATCAGTGACATCAAGATATTAAAAATTAGGAACAATGATACTTGGTGCATTTCAGATGCTCTAGTACTGGCACCATACATCAACATCATAGTGACAAATTTGTTACTCTTGCAAGGTAAATAAAGGATGCAGCACAGTGTAAGAGGAACTTGGAAAACATAACAAGAATAGCTACATATGAAGGTAGTGTCAACATTACAGAATAACATACCACCCTGAAAGTCATTGACATTTGGGAGAGGATCATGCTACAGAATTATCACCTGCATCTTCTACAAACTGAGAAAATCTGTAAGTTGCACTGGTTATTTTTAAAAGTCTGAATTGTTGTATAACAGCAATTAAGAGCATTTTAATAATGATAGCAGACCTGGCAAACTCAGTAAGTGCACTGCTGCCAATGTTACGCAGCTTAATTATGTTCAGTAGCTAGTATATTTATATTTTACATGCTGATAACTAAATCCCCCTGCTGTTCAGGATGAACTGTTTCATGTATACTTACAATCCTCTTCCTGATGAAAAGGAAACTTTGGCATTCTGCAATACGTTCGCAAGAATCTCTATAGAATGCACAGAGTCCACAAGACTATTCCCGCCCCACACCTCCCGAACAATTTTCTTGCAGCGCACCATAATGTCATCCCATAGTAACAGGGGCTTATTACAATGTTGTTTTCTAGAATTAAACCAGAAGAATTTTCATTACATTAGACACAATCCGGGAACATGAAGTAAGGAAGTTGCAAATTGTCATTCTAAACAAAACAGACCTGCACCGACACATTGGTAATATTTATTTCATTTGAGACGGGCCAATGTTTTAAAAATCATTTTCAAATTACCACAATTCGTAAACATACTACTACTCCACAGCCATTATTGTGTCTGTGTCGGGTATTTTCCTTTGAAGTTATAAGAACTACGGATATTGTCCGAAACGGTTGTTATATATCCACTTTATTTTTTTTGAAGAACGACGATGAAAATTTGTTGTTACGTTAATTTAATCACTTTTCGTAACAAGAACTAGTGATTAAACATATATATTTGATTTTATTCTTGTATAACCTAAAAGTTTACTAGAGAATAAACTCTCTGCGCTATGCACAATTTGTGCCAACATCAAACGAAAGCGGACCACTTCCCAAATCACTGATTACCTTCATTAAACACCTGCGCATAGAATCACAGATGTACAGCTTACCAACATGAGAATCATATGTGCAAGTAGAACGAAGTAAGAAAGCTCAGTGGCCATAAAAGGACAATTTGCAGGTAAATGGGATTCAGACGTTACGAATGTGTGCAGTTCTGAAAATGAACTGTAGACAAGTTTTGATTGCGTAACGTTGCGAAGGATATGAAGCGAGGTCCTCTAAGTTTTACCCTGAGGTTGACATACAGTTTTGTGAGAACTACTGTCTTCCATGTTTGCTTCGTATATTGCCATCTCGGCCATTTTATTGCAATATAAATCATAAAACTCCTTGTATGCAATTCTTTCCAGTCATATGTTGCTTCATCTCAAGTATTCTTCCCAGCATTTCACTAACACAGCCATAACTTCCTTTCTTCCACCAGAGCAAGAACAAATTACACACAAATATAAAACAGGAACAATTACAGTTATGTATAATTTAATATTTTAGGTTCTAGAGAGGAGTTAGGATGGTAAAAAAGTGCTGGGGAGAATACTTGAGCATAAGAGAGTTGTGGTAACAAGTGAATGGAAAGAAATGCGAAAAGGGATCATCCTGGTTTATATTGTAAGAGTGATTCAATTGAGGCTGAGATAGGAGTAAATGTAGTACACATGTAAGACAGTAGTCATGTACTCTGTAAATTTTGTAAGACTGTCTCAACTTGAATGTACAAGAAAATAAGTGTAAGAGACAAATAGAGGCAGAATTTATTTACAGTCCATAGATACTTAATAGTACAAGTGAAGGATGTGGAATATGTTATAGCATGAATATGAACACTTATACAATAAAATACTAAAACAAAATTATAATGGCATTATTATTACATCTGTTTACATAAACATTTACAGTATTTAGTAAGTTTAAAATGAAGTACATTCTTCTATAGAGCTGAATGAGTGTGGACTGAATTGAGCTGGCTGAGTTATATATCCTGCACCATGAAATTAGTTTTGATTATAAGAAGCTTTAATTTTAATTAATATTTTTGTTCCTTTTTTCACTCTTTCATTGCTAAAATATTTCGATAAAATCATTACTTTTAAATTACAAAAAATATGAACTGGTCATGGAAATTAGTATGATACTGCAAAGAAACAACAAAGATATTTTAAAGTTAAGATGGAGATATCCATTGCAAGACATAATTTAAAAAATCATAAAATGGCTGTTTTCTGGGTTGTAGCACTGTATTCTCTTGTACAAGTTTACTAGCATTACTTATCAGTAGAACCATCAGTTAAGACTGTATTCTCTTGTACAAGTTTACTAGCATTTGTTATCAGTAGAACCATCAGTTAAGACTATAGAATTTGGAGCTCTTTACTTCAGCTTCCTTTATTCAGTAATGAAATTTACAGATTCTTTTACACTGATTGTCACATATTTTAACAGCTCTTCCATTACAATAAATGGCTTATTGTGTTTGGCTGTATGACATACTGAAAACCACTGTTATATGGTCAGCCATTTCTTGTTCCAGTTTCTTTACACATATAGCAAGTGGTACTTCTTCTGGGTTTGACTAGACATGCATATTTGTACACATTTTGTATGTGTGGCTGACTTTCCTTGGAATCTGTATTTCACTGTGCATTAAACAAAAATAGTTTTACATCCAAAAAGTAAGATATACTTAGCAAAGTTGACAGAGAAGTTAAAACTTACCCAAGTGTACACAGCATGTGTTTACTCATAGAGATGACTTTCATATATGGAGGTTAGCTTTTAATATATTGAACACGCAGTCATGAAGCCAACAAGTGGTGATCTTCCAACTTGGGGGATTGTGCAGATGGCTGACAACCACTCATGATAAAAATCTACAAAACATTGTACATAGATGTTCCACCAAGATAAAACATAATATTGTCATTTCCCTGCCATTTCATCCTCAATATTTAGATCCTACAGACTTCTTTTGCTCCCTAAATTGAAAAATACCCAAAAATTCTCATCAAGTACCAGAGACGATCTAGTATGGAATGAACTGAATTACATCCTACAAGCACAGACTAGAACTTCAATAGATGGAAAATTTTCCTTTTCCTTTCTTTAACAGGGGGCAGATTTGATTGATAGATATGATTTTTAAGTCAGTCCTGACTCTCATGATTTACTCTCCTACACCACACACCTTTTGTTACTACTGGGATATGGATAGTTTATGCAGTGTCTTATGATTATCATAGAGAATATGTGACTTTCAGAGTCATACATATGAATGGTATTAACACTGTAACAGAAGATAATCATTGCTCAAATGGTTTATCTCAACAGGACAAAATCTGCACACATTTGACTTCAGATATAAAGGTTCAGTGGTTTCAGGAATGTGTAAATAAATTGTAATTTGGGCAGTCCATGTGGACATGTGTGTGGTGAATGTTTGGAAAACTAATACAATTTTTCACATATGCAGAGAACAGCAACGGTATAGAAAACAAAGACTACTGATTTGTGGCCTACTCTACTTTTAAAATAATTTACACAATTATTATGTCAAAAATTGCTATATGTAAACACTAATAAAATATTCTTTTGTTAACCCACAAAAAAAAGCTATATGTAAACACTAATAAAATATTCTTCTGTTAACTCACAAAAAAAAGGTTTATTAACAGTTATACAAATTACATGTTGACTAAGGTTTATACTTCCAGGAATTCTTTTTCTGTTTAGGACCTCGCAAAAATGGACACTGGAAATATACGTCATTCACGGACACTTTTTGGGGAACAAGGGTGCACATCACTAACATAATTCTAAACAGAATCAGACAATGATTTAACATGTATTTTACTGCAATCACATTTGGTTAATCATGATTCACAATACAATGATTTAACTGCATCCATTGCAATTGCATCCCGTTAACATTGTTTCGAAAAACAAACCAATATATATGCATGCTGTTACTTTTTACAAAAACAAAGCTAATAAATAAGCATGTCTACAGTACAATTGATGTTATCGGTGGGACTTTATTTTGTACCACATTATCAATGTACATAGTGCTGCAATTTCCTAATTTAGTTAACAGTTATAATCTTCCTGATCTTCGACTAGCAATTGTACGTAACTGCCCATACACTTTGGATGGAGGGCTACCTAGAATAAGATTACATATTGCCCTTCTTGCTAGCTGAATGTTTAGAAAGGAGCCTAAGATATGTATTCTTGAATCTGCAAGTACAATTCGAGTTTTGGTAACATTTTCAATTGTAAATTTTGTTCTACCTCCCTTCCCAGCCAACCTACCAATTGCTCGTGACATATGATCTCCTTTCAGTGGCTTTACATCTTTTATCTCAAATGTTTCAATAAACAGATCATCAAGTCGGACCAAAGCTAATGCATCATCTACTTCAAAACCATACACAAATGCCTTAACAAAGTCTGCAGCTCTCTGAAGGTTGCTAATATCTTGTGTTTCATCACAAGTTCGAATCTCAACATTACGGGTTTTAAGGTTGAAACGGATCTGAAGATGTAAGTGTTCAACTATGGGACCAAATATCTTCATCCAGTTTTCTTTGAGAGGCGTGTAACGATGAGCTGGTACTGCAATTTTCCTGATTTCCGCGCGTTCTCCATTTCGTAGTCTTCCTTTCTTAGCCGGGGTATGCTGAGGTCGACGTCTGCCTTCAATGCCTCTATCAACATCCATATGGTTTTCGTCTTGGGCACGGCGTTTGCGACCCCTTTTCGTCACAACTGTGACGAAAGCGTCCAAATTCTCCTTTTCTTGTGCCATGCTTATTCAGACACCTTCAGGCCTGTTAAAAACGAATTATATTAACATCGTAATATGATGTAAGTTATGTGTCACTTAGAATATATATAAAATACTCACAGTGTTGATAGAAGTTAAATAAATTATGGTCTCTCACATACACGTGTGCAAATCTCTATGCCGCCATATCTAAGCCGTAACGCATTTAATCAGGCTGGCTAACGGCAGAAATACAAATATACCAAAACTTAGAGATCAAGCGACGAAAATTGTATGTCAGCGATTAGTCCGCGGCTATAGATTCAATCCCAGACTTTTCCTATTTTTAGCTTCCTCAAAATTTCTTGTTCCTCAGTTGTCAGATTATTCCTGAAACGGCAACGAATTGTTACCAATTGACTCGGCTGATAGCCCGAGTAGATCATTTTAATCAGGTTCGCCAGGAAAGTTTTAGGTTGTCCATGTCATGTCTCTAAATTTATAGTTCGATTCTTGCTTCCTTTACTCGTCATTTTACAGCATTCCATATTTTTCAATACTTGTGTCGTTTTATTATGTTCTTACATCAATTTAGAGTTGAATCATATCTTCTGGTTGGAGCCGATTAGGTAATTTATTTGGTATTCAATACTCTTAAAGTTCCATACCATTTCAACTGCTCTGGTTGGAGCCGATTAGGTAATTTATATGGTATTCAATACTCTTAAGCCTTTTAATAAATTTAAAGTTCCATACCATTTCAACTGTATTGGCCAGGTTATCTGTGACACCGACTTGTACGTTAAGTTGCCTACAGTAATTTCACGCTGGTATAACTTGTTTTTTTCGGTGAAAATATTACCGGTATGTGTATGATTTTAATATACATCATTTCATACTTGTATTGGTTTTCATCGGCCAGATTAAAAATTCAGGCAGAGGTACAGATTCGACGCCATCGGAGATTCCTTTCCTTGCATTGGAATGTCAGAAATACTTGCTAATTATAGTTCCTTGTTGTATATCGGATTACCAGCGTATTAGTATGACCTCATATTGCTATATATACTAACACTAAAAGTACTAAGCAAACCTAACCTAATAACAACCAAAGTGGTGTACTAAAACCATATTCAAATACCATACTAAAATCCTGAATAATGTACTAACCAAGTGTCACCTAATAAAAATTTAGGTGCAGTATTAAACCCATAATGAATGACCAGCCTAATATAATGAAAAACCAGAAACTTAAGCCCAGCACAAACCTAACCTAATGAAGCCCAAAAACCAAGATTCCTGATTCCCTGTCTCATTTCTGTCATTCCATCATCACATTATTAGATGTTCATTCAGTTTTCTCATCTCTGTCCCCATCATCAGGGTTATGACACCAGGTGGGTGGTTCCCAAAACATTGGTATCTTCATGTAACCATTTGATGTAGCTGATTGCCTGAGATTTTATTGTGTTTAGTCGCTGTGAAAGCAAATCATACATAACATGTCTCCTTTCTGTTTAGGATAATGACATTCTAGATAAACCATTTTGGAAATATTAAAGTTACTAGTCAAGATAACATGAAAATTTTGAATATCCAAAATATTTTCTAAATGGTTAAAGTAGATTAATTTTGTATATGACAAACTGATATGAAGTCATTATTTGCTTATTTCTAACTCTGCAAAATATCAACTTTAGTGTGAGGCAGAAAATAATGGTTATTAATATGTAGGTTAGAACCATCATGAATTCTTACTTGCATCCACACAGATTTATTGATAAATCCTAAATTTAATCTGCACTTTACACCAAAAAACAGACTGGGAAATCACAATTAATGCTTCACCACTCTGAGTTACATTACCATCAACATAGAACACCTTATAGAAAGAAAAATATTATTGCCAAAAGTAATCCATTAACTATGTCTCCATTAAACATCTGATTTTGTAATCCATGGAACAATTTTATAAAATCCAAAACAATCACACCACAGTGCTAAGTTATTTGATGATTATGATTGTGATGATGATGATAATAATATGCTGCTGTTATGTTATATAGTAAAATGTTTTGCTCATATTCCTTCAGATTTATTGGTCTGGCAGCATATTACCAGGCAGACCAGAGCATTTGCAACTGTTGTGTTTGCTCACAACATGGGCATATCACTTCTTAGAATGCTTGTGTCAAAATGATGGATATTGAGGTACTTTCATCTGGAATTGATAGTTTCATTACTGAATATAATATTTTATCATGCAGATATTTGTATTTTTAGTTTGATTTGGTTCACAGTTGATTTGTAGTTGTCATTGATGAAAGACAACACAAATTAATAATTTGCCACATCTCTCACAGCACATCACTCAAGTGACTGCTGCCTGGCTTAATATTGTATGTAGCAGTGACTGAAGATTTTATAGCTTCAGGACTTCAGTTATATCCTAAATCAAGCTCATTGGTCTGAGGGATAGTACTTTGTGAAAGGGAGTGCAATCCGGGTTTTCTGCAGACAACAGCCACCATATCAGTAGCTGTGATAGCTCAGTATAGTGACTAGGCTGTGGACTTTGTGACCACAGTTCAATTTCTTTGACACAATGACCAGACTGGCTTTTGAGTTTACTGATCCTCCTGTCAAATGGGCTCCAGGGGTTTCTTTCCTCAGGAGTAAAGCAGCTGAAGTGTGAAGCTAACAATTAACCTCCATCTAATGCTGAAGTTTATAATGCTTGCATGGTGTAGTACTTATTTAAGCACTTACTACCTTGGATGCAGCAGAGGCAAAGATCATGTCTTTGTGTAAAAATTAAATACATATTTCCATAGGAATTTATATGTTCTGAGTTGTGCCACTCCCTTTTACCAGAGAATTGTAAACTGCACTGGAATCAGTCTCCAACATGATAATGGTGGGTCAGGCAGTTTTACATAGCACCCAAAGCAAGGTGACAAACGTAACATACATCTCGGAGTACAGCATTGTCAGGCCATTGTGCCATTTGAAGTATTAGGAAATTATTCTAGTTACTTTACCCAGTCACATGATTTTAGACCTAAAACTGTGACCTATGAAGAAGAGGCCTTTTAGCCAAGATAGACCTAAAACTGTGACCTATGAAGAAAGAGGCCTTTTAGCCTTAGGACATTAAAAACTGTTGCAGTATTCATGTAGAAATATGAAAGATTTGTGTTCATTGGTTCACATTAACCACTTTGCAATGTACACTAGACTCAAGTTGTCTTTAATCTGTGTAAGTCACTGTTATAACAGTTGTATTTGGTGAAACCTCTTGTTTTTCTGTCTTATGATGTTCTTTACAATTCCCTTTATCTTTCTTGTTGTCTTCAGTAGGGCTATCATTTTGTTGATGATTCCTCTGGTACCAGTTACACCAAATAAACACTGCATTGTCATGCCACAAACAGCAACTGCAAGCCAGTAACAACACCCACAAAGCAAACGCACTCAAGAAGTACATAACATACTTGTAGTTAACTTCAGTGTGACCATACAGTTTTGAGAGATTATCTGGACATCGTATAAAGCACCATAAAAACAATGCAATTCCCACAAGTATTGTGAAGCAAAAAAGGATTTTTCCTGTCTTTTGTAAATTGTTCTTCCATGTGCTCATTGTGACAGAATTAAGTGATATGTATCAGAACTGCCACAGAATTAATTTACAATATTGTAAATGGCTAATATATCTTAATTTTAACACATTATGTCAACTTTTCGTGTATCAGTTATAGTATCCTGATCAGCCACTCCAGTTGATTATAATCTAGAAGTAATCTATTCACTAAAAACTTCAGAATGCACACATGAAATTGACTCTGAACTGAAAGGCATTTTCACAGTTAACCATGCAACTTCATACTTCTTAGTTGCTGGATTGTGTTATCAGATGTATGAATCAGACAAAGGATACTGAACCACATCCTGTGGTTTCTTAATAAACAAGCAGTATGTCATTTTCAGTTCGTTGAAAATATGAGCGTGATGTGTTGCAATGGGACTTTCATGTATCATTGAGAGATCTACAAAATGGTTCGCATATGTAGGAGTGACACCACAATTTGTTAGTATATAAAGTGAGGGTATGTAGGCTGTATAACTTTTCAATTGTTGAAAGTGTATATGTGTATAAATAAAAAATTATGAAACCTGGGTGAAACTGTATTAATTTCAGTATTTACATTCTATCAGTCCCATAACCTGTCTGGATTTGAGCCCAAGTACTTCCAAAAGTTCAGTATTTAGTAACAGAAACATTTATTATGCTCTGTTGGCCTGAAGCAGTATGGAAAACTAATGGCATACTGACAATACTTAATACTGATTAGTTTTATCACATTTTGGTGCTTTTTGTCTCTGGACATTTGGTATTTTTTCTGCTGCAACCATACAACCCTCAATACACAAGGTGTTTGCTGTGTGGCTGAATGGTACAGACTGATTTAACTCACTGACTATTATTTAGATGTCTTTTCAACATGTTAAACATTGCCAAGAATGAAATCCATATAACAAATGTACAATCAAAACTGTTTTAGCCTGTTGTCAGTTTGAAGTTGTATGAAAATAAAATGCTAAGGTGAATATTTGTGTCTGAGAGAGAGGAAGACACTACTTGGAAGACATATTGATAAATGGGAGACTGACATTAAATTGGAATAAAGAAATCGAAGCTGAGGATATAAGTTGAATTTAACTAAGGTAGGATGCAGGAACAGATTCCTGTGGACACTGTAATGCATCTTGGGTTCCACAAAGTACAGTGAATTTCTTGTTCAGCTGAGTGATTGTCTGTTTTAAAGGAAGCAGTGCCCTACCACAAAGTACAGTGAATTTCTTGTTCATCTGAGTGATTGTCAGTTTTAAAGGAAGCATTGCCCTGTATAGTTGGCTAATTGCAGTGTACCTGACACATAGAGTGACTGTTAAACTGGAATATAATATGATCATAAACAAAATCATATTTTGTGAAAATTTACATGCAATTGGTTCTTGGTTTATATGATTATACTTTTGAACTGCAGAGTTTATAAAGTGTCAAATGACATGTTGATTATGAATAGCCTATTAAAAATTATGTGGAAGGAAATGACTGTGATCTGTTTTATTATACTACCAAGTATCTGCCCAGAGGGATCTCAGTTAAGAAAACATGGCTCTGAATCAAATTTACATCTGAATTTGAGAAGAAAAGTTCTTTCTTGAGAAATTTGGTTGTCGGCATCATATTGTTTATAAGGTGTGGAACGAATTTTTTTAGTTCTTTAATGTCAAACAGTAAAATAATAAATATTTCTTCTTTGTACAATCTTTAAAAATAATCACATTATTCCTTTACTGTCTCATTAAGTTTTGGATAAGTGTCAGTAAGAGCGGGAAGGTATCTGAGATATCACTACTTCCAGTCTTTTTACTGAAATTACATTTCTCAAGCAGTTTGCACACATGGAAATCTATATCTGTATCTTCTGTTATAACTCTTCTCTAGGATGTTTTACTTTGTGTGTTTTAGACATGTTGTAAGATGGGGTTAATTTATTTAATTTTTATGACCTTTTCTTTTTAAAGAAATGTCCAAAAGTATGATCTGAATTATGTAAAGGAAACTGGAAAGCATGTGACAGCAAAGCTCATTAGTTTTTAATATATTTATGTGATTTTAGTTTTCTTCAACCATATAAAATATTTATTTTATATGGAGGGGAACTTTATTCAACTTTAAATTTTCTGTATTATATGTTTGATAAAACAAGGTGGATCAAAGTTATCTCATAGATTTTTATTCCCATATTATAAGAAATAAGTAGTATCAATATTTGGTGAAGAATTTTAACATAAACATATTTAAGTTAAAAAAAACAATCTGATAAGTAGTATCAATATTTGGTGAAGAACTCTTATTTTAACATAAACATATTTAAGTTTAAAAAAAAAACAATCTATATTACAGCAACAATATACAAAGGTGCTATTAAAACTGTCAAGTATCTGCCTGTAAATGTAACCTATCTTTGAAACCATAGAAGAGTTCTTAGAAGAACAGAATGTAAAAAGCTGCTGAGAAAAGATATAGGGCTACTATGTTCCACTGTCTCGAACAGGGCAAAGTAACAACACATAATCCTTGAAAACATACCCTCCTACAGAAACTCTACCAAAAAATGTGCAAGAAAGATTATGAGATGAAAATCATTAATGTTTTGAACCCACCAGTAAATTTTACATGGTAATAAATTGTTACTCGTACATGAAATGAACAGCTGATTATTCAACAACTTTTCTTTTATCACAGATATGATGAAAAAGTGCACATTTCTGGAAAACATTTGTTTGAGGAATAAAATAGTTCTCTTGATAAGCAATTCTTTAAAATGAGTTTGTTATTTCCATTTCACCATATCTCTTACAGAGAATTATTTATGAAATTCAGTGTACTACCTCTTTACAAGTAAATTCTTTCTCTCGTTACTGTCATTTGCTTTGGACAGCAAGGAGAATTTTCAGTTTCTGTCATACACAGTATGAACACAATACATAATCATGACCTCCATATACTTAACCTCACTACTTACCACAAAGGTGTTTACTATGCAGGAATCATATTCAGTACTCTTCTAGCTAGGATTAAAAGTCATGAAATAAATTATTTAAACCAGCATTGAAATATTATCTTTTATATCACTCCTTCCACTCTGCATAAGAATTTACTTGAATTGAAAATTATAAATACTGTACTTATTTGTGTACATATTTGTAACAACCACATAGTTATATTTATATTGGTATTTTATTTGTCATAACATGTTTCACATTCTTGGTTTGTATATGAAGAATTTATGGAATGTGAATAAATTCTATTCCATTCTGTGGAGTAGCATATTAAGGGTGGCCTTAAGCAGTTTTGTCAGTTAAACATAGAAGTCTTCACAAAATTAAATATGAGATTTTTTAATGTGCAAGTAACAATTTTCAAAGTAAAGTCAACTTTCCTCAAGGACTCTTGTGAAAACAAACATTTTCAACATTCTTTATTTTCCATGTCATTCAGTAGACAGGAGTGCAAACTACTTTGCAGATAAAAATGTGTCATGAAAGTAAGACATTTGTAAATTATACATATAGGCCTATAAATACTGACTGATATTAATCATATGTCATGATAGCAAAGAAGTAAAAAAATTCAAGTGATACAAAGAACATTTCCATATCTTGGGAAATTTTGTGTGTTTATATTTGATTTAATTATTCATTCATTTGTGTAGGAGATCTGGCTCCTTTTAGGTAGTATGTGAATTCTTTAAAATTATATTTTATCCTCAGAATATTCTGCATCTTTGATTTTCTGTTGATGATTCCATTGATTTCGGAAGCAACACAAGCACACTTCATTAATTCGCCACAAACAACATGCAAACGCCATTAACAATATCCACAATAAAAAAACACCCATGAAGTACATAATATATGTAACAAATGACTGTTCTCGAACCTTTGAAAGAACTAATGGACACATTATAAAGCATACAGTTAGAAGAACAATTCCAGAAATTATTGTAAAACCAAAGATGAACAGTTTTAATGTTCCTCTACAGTCATTCTGCCCATTCATGTTTGCAGAATTGTACAACAGCTTCAGATATCACAAAGTAAATACACTGTGGTCAAACTCAGTGCAAATTTTTATAGATGATTTGATTTCTTGCATAGAACTTGCTGTGATAATATGTCTGTACTGAGTTGATGATATTGGTTATAAACCATATTAAAATTATTGCCAATGTTTACAAAATATGAAAGTGCACACTTATAGAAATAGCTTCACTATAAAATATCGATAGTCTGAAGTTAATATAGATTGTATGTGTATCACTTTATCAGGATGTTCACTGCTGAATTACAGTGGAAGGAATTGCTACAGGACAGGATGCATTTTCTGACTACTTTGTCACTAAACCACTTCCTCTGACAAATTACATGGTTACTAAGCAACTCCTGTGTAGGTTTCTGGCATATTACACTGTATGTGAATTTGATTTGAGATATACAGGGTGGGTGGGAAGTAAATAGGCTTTGAGAAATGGTTATAACCTATATATTTCCAATGTATAGCGATTATTTAATGCCTACTTACTTCCCTCCCACCCGATATAAAGAATGAAAATTGTGGATATGAAGAAAAGTAATACAGTTTCTATTGTAAAACTGAAGTGTTGATTTCTTCATTCTATAATTATGACATGTTTCCTTTATTTCATATATATATATATATAATTGAAATTGTGGGTATGTGTATGTTCACTTCTTGCTAGAGAATGGATCTATTGATTTGACCATACTTGGCATGCTTATTCCTTGACACCAAAACAAAAATTTTAGAAAAGTGTCAAAACTTTCAAAAAAAATTCTGGCTTTGAAACTAGGTAAGAGTGGTTTCTGTGACATCCAAACTAAATGCTGTAGAAGAATGTCACCAAGACCGAAATTGTTTTTCATTAAGGAGATTATAGAAACTTTGGTCACAAACCTGAAAACTGCCGTAGGTTTTAGTGTCTGTGAAGATGTTAAGTTCAGGTATAATAATAATTTTTTCAATGGTGTTCAACAATACATATTGAATGATCATCCCTGTGATGAGCTTTCATGCAATAAGGATTGATAAATATAAGCAGATGTCAAATTTCCCCACAGTAACTCTGTGGACACCCTACTTCCAAAGTGCCCGTTGATATTCAGCGGGAATTCCAGAAGTCATTAATTTCATGGAACGTTTGGAGTGACGGTTTTCAATAGAAATGTTATAGTTGTGTGACTGAAAGTGACTGGGATCGTAACCTCCAAACTCCGCTTACTTCTAGTTACACAGGTTGGTGATCCTCCATGAAATTCTGAGGCGCCTATAGTTTGTGCATCTTTAATGCTTGAAAGTTATTCGTTGTGGTTTTATATATATTTTAATCTTTCCCGCTTATTGCATACATTGTGTTTGAAAAGAGATTTTTTTTGCTTGTGAGGTTACCAGTATTGTTTGGGAGGTTTACGATTTTTGTACTGAATTTGTATAGAAAATAATTGACTTCGTAGATGTGATAAATATCTCTAAGTAATGCCACTTTTCTTATGACTTCTAAATTGAACTTTGAGGACCGAAAATGAATTTATTATTAATATGGATTTTTTTACGAGCTTGCGTACACGTTCGTATCTAAGGACGCACTGAAAGCACCTTATGTTTGTGTTCCTGCTATGTTTTGCAGTCAGAGGTATTATGTTTTGCGAATGAAAGCGCGTGATAGTTGTGTTAAGAATGACAGCTCCAGAATGTGGTTCATTTTGTAGGTTCAAGTAGTATTGTATTTAACATATTAAATTCAGTCGATTGAATTTAGTGACAATTTAAACATGGCATCAGTGTCACAAACTGGAAAACTCCAAAGACAAGATACCGGAATTGTTACGAACTCGACGAAGAAACCTCTTCTAAATCTTTTTCCTCAGAGAACGGACTGCAAATATACACCATGTTATTGGTAAGTCTTTTCATGCACATTTGATTGTTTTCAAGACGTTCTGACGAGGTGTCCAGTATTGAGTTGGGGAGATACGCACTTGTTGCATTCAGACCATCACTGCATTGGGATCAATATGTGAACATAAGCACATATTCACATGCAGCAGCGTTGGGACACGCAAGCCCATTATTCTTGTTGTTATGACACTATCTCTAGGGTTGTTTCAGCATAATTGTCACACCATTTTGATATATTTGCACATGAAATTCAGGTTGTGTAGCTGTATGCAATTTTCGCTCTATGAGCACATACTGTAATGAAAGGCTTATTTGTATTCTGTACTCATATTTTGAGTCACCCATTCCTGAATTTATGCTTATACATAAAAATATATTGGATTTGCAGAGAGCATTGTATATTGTACGAAACAGTTTGGAATGTCCACCACAATGTAATGTAATTAAATTTAAGGGACAGGTTCCATTCAGAAGCAAAACTAAATTGTACTGTGTTGGAAAAAATAAATACAATCATATGTTATAGTATTATATATTTCATATGAAGAGGATGAGGGCACAACTTGCAAATAAGTATTTTTTTTCAAATTCTATAAATTTTTAACAATGTTATAAAACCAAATTTAATTCAAAGAAAGTTTTGATTTAAATATGTAATATTTTAAACATTTTATAATTTTTCTATGGCTGTGAAATTATAACAGAGAAACAAAGACTAAAGACAGGAGAGATGAGATGCACAGTAGCACACAGCATATTAGACCATAGAAGAAATTATATTTTAGCAGAACTTGATGTGGACCTACTTGAGAGAGATTAGCACAGCATGAACAAACTATGAAAAAACGTTAGACACCCAAAGCAAATTCTTGACTGCTGACCCATTGAAAAAGGATCTGGATGGCCATTAAAGTGATTACAGTCCTGATCCTAAAAGAGGTCAATTATTAGCTCAACTTCATGACCAGCAGGAGGAGATGATACTGGATATTATTAAAATATACATAGGTTTGAAACATTTGACAGTCATTTATCATGGCAATGGAGGCAGCAAGCGGCTCTGAAATGTCAGTAAACTACCAGATTCCATGGTGCAACAACACACAAGACAGCTGTCCTGACACTGACTGCCATGAGAACCTGAAATTTAACTCAGTTATTAAAAACATTTGAAGAGAGTTTAAAGTGCTAGTAAAATTTTAAATTCTAGTGATTTAAATTTCTGTTTATTTTTCAGTGAAGAAAATGTGTGGAAACTCTGCAGTGATGTAAATACACGACACCAAACAGAATTGCAACATTGCCACATTGTATTTGTCTCCAATGACTGTCGCACTATACCTCTCTGGAGGCAGAAAGCTGGTAAAGAAGAAGAAAAGTTGATTATATGGGTGAGAAACTTCATAAATATGTCACTAAAGAAAGATTCACATAGAGTTATGGAAAAGTAGGTCAGGAAAGATACAAAATTTAATGTATCCAAGTTTTGTATTTTACACAGTCATTAAAATGATTGTCAAAACAAGACAGTTTTTTTTAGATTTATGAAATGATTTTGCTCCTTTGAGGTACTTGTGTAAATACTTGATAATTATTTTAAAATAATTGATTCATTAAAGTCAAGTGTACCACCTGCTTTACCAGCGACTCTTTCCTTAAACTGCATTAACATTTTTTTAATGGTGAAGTGTTGTTTTGTTTGAAGTAGAAACTGAATTCTTAAATCATATTTGTACAGATGCTGATCTGTAATGGGTATGAAGTTTTATTTTGCTTCCATTCCAATCCCTTCTACCATATAGATGTTAAAATGAATGATAACATGATTTAAATAAAAATTATTTTCTGGATTGCTGCCTCCTGTAGTCTCATAGAACTTTACTAGCATTTCAGAGTGCATATTGCCTCCATCATTAGGACAATGGGTAAGCCATGTGCGATAAAGTAGGTTGAGACATGGGAATAGCAGGGAAATGTCCATACAGGTTCAGCATGCCAGGAAGGGAGAAATCAGCTCTTATCAAGGCAGACTTGATATTATGTGTCGACAGCATCCTGTTGATATGATTGAAGGTTGTGCTGACAAAGGTAAGGAAGGAGACCTTGACAAGTTTCTCCAAGGTTGTTGAAACTCTCTTTGCTAAGATTGAGGGTGTCAGATTTTCCGGTTGCTATAGCCATTCTGCGATAAGAAGGTCAAGTTCATTTTGTAGGTTGTCATGACCACAAAGGATTCTGGCCTTGTGCAGAGATGTGGAAAGTACAACCACTTTGTTTAAAAGGAGATGGTGGAAGTTGATATTGAGATAGAGGTGGTCTGTATGAATTTACAGTAGATTGTGTGGCCCAGTATGCCTTCAGGTTTATTGTAGTTTTTAATACCAAAGAAAGGACAGTGGCCATCTCTTTCTGTCTACATAGTCAACAGGATGTTCTCATGGACATTATTCAGGTGGTCAAGGAAGTTGATCAGCTTGCCTGAACCATGTGACCAGTTGACATATGTGTTATCCACATGGTGAAACCAACAGAGGGACTTATGGGTTGCCCCCTCCACAGTCATCTCTTCAGTGTGCTTTATGAAGAAGTTGGCAATGACTGGGGAAAGTGGCAAAAGCATGGCCACACTGGCAGTTTGCTTGTGTAACTGACTGTTGAAACTCAGAAAGGAAGAGTGAGGGTATCCAGTTCAGCAGACCCATGTTCTCTCCAGTGGGATCCATCAGTCCCTCAACCCACTGAAGAGAGTTGCTGTGACTCCAGAAAAATCCATCTAAATCGCCTTCCTGTGTCTCACCATACTTTTCTGCATGCAGCCTACTGATTGCCTTGATGATGGAAGTAGTAAGCACTTCTGAAAAATCAGTCAGTATTCGATCAAATGGTGCAACATCCCAGAAAATATAGTCATCTTTATATTTTCTACCACGAGAACTTGAAATATCACAATGATGTAGATACTGATATGTTTTTATTGTACTGTGTTTTAATTGGGTTTGTGTGATTGGTAAATCTCAACTTGTATTCAGGAGGTACACATTTCAAATCTCAGTTAGGCTACTACTGGTGATCCTTACTGAGGTTTTCCATGGGTTTCCTCATTCTTACCTTGTGAATGCCAGGATAGATGATACTTGCAAATAACCGTGGTTATCTTGTTCCATTCATCTTCTTCACCATTTGTGATAATGTACCCATTGAATATTATATAACGTGTATTTGACAGTGTTATAAATAACCTGGGTGTCATATACAGAGTGATTGAAAAATCACTTAACCCATTCCTGACATGTTCGATTTGTCAAAAAATAAATTACACAGAAATCAGAAAACAAAAATGTCTTACATTAAATGTTGGAAATGTTCGTCACGTTCAGTAATGCATTCATTCTTTTCCCGAAGATGAAGAGTTACTGCAGTAATGGAAACAGTTCACCACACAAGTTACAATTGATTTCTTTGGCGCAGGATAATTTGGAAATTTATCCCTGAGGTAATTCTGGCAAGTTAAGTAAGAACAAGATGCCAGGTACTGTTTGACAATGAGAACTCATTATGCTTGTGGAAAAGACATTCTTGAACTTTGGCTGTGGAAGACAGCTTTTAGACTGGCGTGAACATGATGTGATCTGTGTGGGCTCTTCTATAGTCACAGTGATATTGTGTGTTTATTGATCCAGTTAAATTGTATTGAATTGCAACCATAAATAAATATTTTAATGTGTATTGCATGACTTTTCAACCACTCTGTATTTATTCCAGTCAGCCAAAGTATTTTATGGCCTTCATTTGCATCTTTGCCCAGAGTGACTTAGGTTTCTTGTGCTTTGTTCCTGTCTCATGATTGTAGAACAGGCTGGAACTGGACTGCGGTGCACTTATAGCTCATGTGAATAATTCCAGTTTAGTATCTGTATTTATGGATGACTGAGCAAGGCTCTCAGCATAAATGAAAGACTACTAGTATCTTCATATGAGCCGGAATAGCTCAGTCAGTATAGTGACTAGCTACGGGCTGGACAACCGGGGTTCGATCCCCGACCGGGGCAGAGGATTTTTCCTCTAGCCTCTGCATCCAGACCGGCTCTGGGGCCCACCCAGCCTCCTCTACAATGGGTACCGGGGTCCTTTCCCGGGGGTAAAGCCGGCCGGGGCGTGATGCTGACCACTCACCCCCATCTAGTGCCGGGGTCAAGGAAAAGAGGAGCTATACCTCCACTCACCCCAAACGCCTACATGGCGTATAGTGGGACAAACTTTACCTTTTACTAGTATCTTCATAGTCATGTTATTTGCAAGGTTCCTTTTCTGTCTACCAGGTTATCAGGACTTATTAAAGTAGGAATCCTTGAATATAGTACAAACTGCATGGGAATGAATTCACTTTGCATATGAGGAACTTCTGGAATAAATAAGGCCATCATATATGAAAAAATAAATATTGTGAAATATATACTTAAAGTGTGGAAATTGATTATAGGACTACCATGTACTGTTGTTGTACAACCCTGATGACCGATGTCTTGTGTATGACTTGGACTCAGAGCTGCCATTCCCAACATATTTCCACAAATATGTCACTGAAACATTTCGGACTGACCAAATACTCAAGCCAGATTACTTCAGGTTTGTGTTTAAAATGTATTGTTGTGTTTAGTATGATACCAGTAATCATTATAGGTCTAGAGTTATTGATGGGTTACTTTGTTTTGTGTTATTTGGTACTTTTTTAACATTTGACTAATCAGTTTATGAAACATTTGATTTTGTTATAAAGTGTGACATTTAAAGTAAGGTAAAGCTCATCTGAACATTAATGTTCACTGGGTTTTGATGTTCGATATTATGATGCCTTGTGATTACCATTGTTTTATGAAGGCGTACTGCTTCCATCTTAGTTCTTAAAGATGTAAGCAGTAGGTTCCTTCAAAACCACAATTCAAATTTTTGCAGTCAAGAGAACCTGAAATTTCAGAAATGTTAATTGTTATTCTGAAACTTCAAAAGTATCTGAAGTTAATATTATCTTGCTTATAAATTTTACTTATCTCAACATTGTATGTAATGTTCTGTGGTGAAATGAAAGTGTCTTTAAAGGATGGGAACACAATCTCTATTTTAAGTTTGCCAGCCACTCTGGTGTCAAGGAAAGTATTCTGTAACTAAACAGACATAGATATTTTGACTGGCATTAAATTTGCAGTGTTTTGTACAGTAGGTTAAGCCATTGTATGGATGCCAACAACATATTTGTCCCTGAACAGTTCAGCTTCAGGAAATGTTTGCCCACTGAAAATATAGCATTCAAGCTAAATGACAATATATTAGAAGCTGTTAATAGATAACTGCTTGTTCGAGAAGTATTTTGTGATCTAGCAAAAGCTTTTGACTGTGTAAATCATGAAATCTTGTTGGCTAAATTATGTTATGGCATTCAAGGAACTGCTGCAAACTGCTTTAGGCCTTGTGTTACAAACATAAAAACAAAAAATGTAAATAAAACTGGCTAGTGCAACTCCAAATTTCTCCAGTTGGGGAAAATGTATAGAGTCAGAAAATACAAAAATTCCTTGTTCTACAAATTGATAACCACCTAAATTTAAAGAATCATATTGGTCAAATTATTCTGCAGTTAAGTGGGACATGTTATGCAGGTAGATCAGTGTTTTATATTGTCATTATTGACACACTGAAATCATTCTACTTTGCTTTCACTCTATAGTATATAAGTATGGAATAAGTTCTTAAAGTAATTTATCTGACAGTAAAAGGATATTTACTTTACAAAAAGAATAATTAGAATTATGGCTGTTGCCAAACTAAGATTCCTAGAAGCTATTTATAGAAATTTTACATCTTGTGACTATATATTTTCATTAATGAATTTAAGTGTAAACCTAGAACTTTTTCGTACAAATTCACAAGGAATAAGAACTATCTTCATGGACCAGTTTGCCAACTTTCATGTTTTCAGAAAAGCACTCACAATACTGGCATAAAAATTTTCAACAGTCAATCACGTAGTATCGAAACTGTTTAGGATAAAAACGAGACATTTAAAGTTGCATTAAAAAAATACCTAAATACAAACACCTTTTATTCTGTTGTTGTATACAGTTTAAAGAGGTCTTATCATCCATTTAGGTGTTATTGCACTTGTATATTTTGCTCTATAAAAGTGGATTTGGTGTAACATTTTAATATTCATATGTTAAACCTTTATTGTTTGTGAAACTTAATTAATAATTTTAATTTGTATTCATCTGTATGGTTTGTACTTGTGACTTACTCCACTCCTTTAGTAAGTCTGAATTTTGATTCCCTGGAATGTGTGTGCGCTTGTGTGCATGTGCATACTTGCATGCATTTGCACATGTTTGTATGTGCAGGTGTGTGTGAGTATATCTAAAGTATCAGGTAATGATTTGTTATAATGCTCATTATCTGATTTAAATAATTTTATTTCAAAGGACAGTTAACGTTACTGATACAACATGTTGATTGTCTTATGATACTAGGTATTTCCGAGTAGTACCAGCATCAGTGTTCCTGCAGCACTTCGCATCTGATCGGCGTCATATGAAGCGGGCTGATGGTTCTTGGATCAAGCCCCCACCTGATTATCCACCTATCTCAATACCAGGTATGTTTCTATATATTATAACATTATGTGATGATGAAAACCTTGTTTGTGGGATCATGGATTACACCGAACATTAAAATATTTGAATTTATAAGATAATAAGCCATTGTCATGTACTTATCCTGTGAAATATTATTGATGATTTTAAATTTGGTTTTACTTTTTATTCCCTTCCCTCCCTTGCTCTCTCTCTTCCCCCCCCCCCCCCCCCCATGTTCTAACTCTCACTGAAATTGGATTCATTTGGCTCAGGGCAAGGAATGGTAAGAAGGCTGTTGGGAACATAGTAATGAACTGTTAGGTTTCATAAAAGGTGGGCAGTTTTTTGATTAGCCGAGTGACTATTACCTTCTCTGGGAGGACTTGGCTTCGTGGGGTTAGGTGCTTATTAATAATGGAAGTGAGGCTTGTGCTATAATGATATGTCCCCACTTTTTGTGGCAGATAAAATTCTTACTTTTTTAATTTTTGATTTGGATTATCTACCTGTAAGTTGTGATGATGTTCAGGGATGTGACATTTTGTAGACTTCTAGGTAGATACCAATACTTTAGGAGAAACATGATGTCCCCATATTCGGGTATAAAGTCTATCAGACCCTATCTAATAACTTTTCATCACCGATTATTTTTCATATAATATTAGAGGCATATTTTAATCCTGTAACATGAATTAGTAAGTATCTTATCTATCCAATCCTATATTTATTGCCTCTCCTTAATGTTATAATATTTTACATTTTGCTATGAATTAATTAATTCTGGTTTGTTAGTTTTGTCACTGTGACAATCTAATAACCCATCACCAAGAACTTGGAGCACTGGGACTATATTCATGCACAATACAACATCTTATCAAGAAAAGGATATGTATTATTTGTGTAATAACATGTTTAAGTTTTTAATTTTTAATTTTAAAACGGTTTAAATTTATTTACTGCCATTTTTAAGTGCTTTATACGCTGTCATGTTTGTTACATTGCTATAATTAGATATTTATATAAAACACATTTGTGATATAAATCAACTTAAATAGTCATCCTCAGGCACTGTCACATAACTGTAATATGGAATAATTCTGTTTTCTGATCAAGGAATTGCTTATAAGATCTTTAATCTTTTCTTAATTTGGTGTGCTTGATAATTTAAAGAGGGAATGCTCTTATTAATACTGAAGGGGAGAAAACATGTGGTTCTGACAGGATAAATGAGTTGCTCAGTACTATAAACAAGTGATTATGTTGGTGTGTTATAACCTTAAGTGTTGCCTAAAAATAAAAATGTCTGGGAAACTTGCACATTTTTATGTTTCAAGAAATATGTCTGCTCATTGCTGATTAACAGTAGCTTTACATTTTTAAATGCAAATTAAATGATGTTACAAAATGCACATATATTTGAAAAGGCTGACATTTCTGCTTGAAACAGAGAGGTCAGAAATAAAGTAACCTGTAAGTTCATGTATTTCCATTGTATGTAAGACGTGTAATAAAATCCTTTTAACAATTTCCATTTAAGTATTGTGTGAAAATAATATTGCATTATAGAAGTAAAATCATGACATTTTAATACTAGAGCAAACAATTTATATTCTGTCTGATTTTATAGTATATAATTTGTTAGGTTTCTAGAGGGGTGTACTTCATATGTTGCATTTTGGGAGTGGGGGTTCACACCCTTAGTTTGTGCTGCATGTTTGACGCTCCCTTTGAAAGAAGTTGCAGAGTGGCACCCAGGCACATAACTTAGTGAGTGTGCACTTAAGCTGACAATTTGCTGTTTTCAAAATAATTTGACCTTTGTCAGATGAAATACTGGAAGAACACTGCTTGTAGCTTGGCAACAGTGGGAAAAGAAAACAATAATAATTTCTGGGGTTTGAGGTTCTCACAATGATGATATTTTTCTGGGTTTTGGTGTCGTGTAGACTTGCAGGTTCAGTGGATCAAAATAGCTGAGTTTCAGCTGTGTCACTGAAAGGGGAGGGGGAGCAAGATGGCAAAGAGTCTCTCTGAGTATGTGTAGTGTAACTGAAAACATTTTTTTCACCTTTTAATTTCAACATAATCAGTGGCATTTTTGTGTACTGACTTTTACACTATACTCTGTTTTGTGAATGAAAGGAACTACAAAGCACTAGAAATGCAAACAGACACCTTAACCCACATGCATTTCATCTACAGCCTAAACATACTTTCACATCCAGTAGTATACAAGGAAGGATTGGGTTATTCATTTACATATTTTATCACTTTGTGGTCTTCCCCTCCCTCCAAGTGTATTTGTAATGGTCATCCAAGCTCAGAATTATTTTGCAGCCACTGTAAATACCTTAATTTTTTAGAAACATTGGTATCTACGTGTGAGTTTACATTGCTTCAAAACCCAGAACAACAACAACATTGTCAATAATAATATTAACTTTTTGTTTTTTATTTCTTGATTGTTACATTATTTGGTTGATTTTATGAACATGTTAACCGTCGTGTCCAAGGTAACTGTGATAAACAAGTGATAATTATGAAGAGATTGATGAACAATTAGTTCATCATGAGAATCATCCTCTCACCTCACAAGTTTCAGCATTTATCATGTTGGTATTACTGACTGTAGGTAATAGAAGCATGTGAGGTTGGAACACCCTCTCATGGCTTAATATCCATGCCAAATTTCATGAATTTACATATGGCCATTCTTGAGTTATTGTATGCTTTATGGCTAATGATGTTATAATGAGTGATGACATCATCTGTTGTTGCTGAGGATCAGGTGTAATGACATCATCGCACAGGATCATCCCATGTAACAACTTTGGGAATTTCATTTGTCATGTTAATATTACCAATTGTAGGAATTTTAAAATTACAAAATTATATTGGCCTACAGTGGAATAACCTTCATACAATATTTCATGAAAATCCATTGTACTGTTCTTGAATAGTTATATGCATTCAGGTGACAGATGGACAGACAAACCAAACTTTATAAGCACACAGCTGAGATGTGAATGTGCCTAAAAAGAAATGGATCTTTGCATTATATCAGCATGGATTTCTGCTAATTTTAATGTACTGAGTAACTATGCACCTGTTCATACAAGGCAGATTACATAGTTCTGTTGTATTTTTCAGCAAGTGCACATAATTTGGATGAGTTCATCAACATGGACCCAACAAAGGGTCTTGGACAAGTCATGAACCTGACTCAACTTGTAAAGACCTTTTACCAACAGCCATAGTCAGAGATGAATAAATGTTGTGTTGGCAGTTGTGAGCCGTCAGATTGTGTTTTCACTCTTAACCACTGTTGAATTGGTTGGGAAAATTTGTCTGCAGATTGCTTTGTCATCAGTTTGTAAAGCTATCCTGATCTTCTTATTAATACAGATAAGAGAAGAGTATGAAGGGTGGAAGTAAGTCCTTGAAAGTATTCAGTAGGTAACAGCATATGGAATCATTTGTTGCATTTAATTGGCAGTAGTAAAGAGACCATGATTTGTAGAACTTAAACTTACAGTATCCCTGTTACCTGTTACAGCAGACAGTCATAATTAGCAGGTGTGTCACCAGCAGTTTTTCAGTTCACTATATATTTTTAGGTCTAATAAAACTTTTATTATTATAAAATGTAATTGTGTGCTTAAAAGTAAACATACTTCTGTGTGCTGTTTGTCATTTGTTAAATATTGATAACTGTCTTTTGGAATTCAGGCATCTTTGACAATAAGAAAGAAAAAAATGTTTAATGTTATTAAAATTCCTAGAATTGTTTAAACATTTATTTTCTTGTTCAGACATTCAACCGAAACATTTTTAAATCACCAAATTGACAAGCAGAGGAAATGTAAGAGCAATTGTGATTTGCTGACAAAGGAAGATTATTTTTTACCATATTTTCATCTTAACATTTTATTTTTATCTCATTTAGAATCTGAGAAAGACTAACTTTAGTGTGACCTTGTGTTTGTTTTATTCACTACTCACCTTCTGCTGTGACACTTGAGGGACTATAGTTTTCTAAAACTCTGAAAATTTGTTAATGTTGGCCATTTAATGCAGCATTATGCATTAAAATACTGTCTGCTGGTTTTGGAGGACAGCCATCAGATGCATGCATTCATACATCCAATGCAGATGCTCTCATATGAAACTGACACCAAAAGGTAAAAGTGGTGTTTATGGTTAAGCATATTAATGACATATGTTTTTGTCTTAATTAAATTTGCTGATGTTGGTGAGAATTTAAGGTTTGAAGTGACATGGTAATATTATGATAATGTATGTGCTTGTTGAAAACAACTTTAAAACTTGAAACAATGGTCTTCTGGGTTCTTGTTTGGAGGAACATATTATCTTCATCTTCAAGGTTTAAATGAGGAGGAATGGGTACTGAAGTTCCTTCCAAATTTCGGTATACAACCAAGGAATACGTGGTGAACAACCCTGTCTTCCTCATGAGTCTAAGGGCAGACTTCTCTTCCTACTTTTACTTTTGAACCAGCCTTACCATTTAGTGTTCTGCATAGGACTTTTCCTTGCTCCTTTGGGCTGGACCCAGCTCTGTAACACTCCCTTAGGACTGTTCGGCCAGTGTTCTTCAATCTAACCGTGTATAACTCAGCAGTACCTGTCTGTCCTCACTTCAGCCCAGAAGATGGATGCAGAATGTTCCTCCAAAACTTCAGTATACAACTAAAAGACTACATTGTGCAACAACTTTGAAAAAACTATCTCACATTCCTGTGAACATCTCAAATCCTACTTTACAAATTGAAAACTTTTTTGTTAGTAGTTTTGTATAAAGAAAGAATGAAATTTGTCTGTGTTTTTACCTGAAACATTTCTTGTTTTAACAAAATGAAATTATTGTATTTAAAATACAGCTATGTCTACACTTTTTAATTGTTATGTACATTTTAAATGTCAAGTTACAAATTGTTTGTCATATGTACCAGTTTTGTAGCAACTTTCAAAACATCTCTTGCTTTCTGCTAAATAATTTTCATGGTCATAACATTGATCATATTGAGGAAAGAGAATTCTGTTTGTAATCCAATGAGCAAGTAGGCTGCTGGAAATGAAAATTGGAGAGTATTGTCACCCTCGTGTTCCAACATGTCATTGTGGCTTCTTTTCCCATTGAATATCATGTCAATATGCCTTTTCATTGCTCAATGTACAGTGGCTAATTATGTGTGAAATGAATTGTGAAAGTATGTTGTTTTTCTTCATTGTGTATTTCCAAAATTGGGATATTATGTTTAGAAGCACATGGAGTACAGATTTTTGTTTTGGATAAAACTGATTAAATGTTTTTGGCTTATTTTTGTAAGTATAAAAATACAATTTTTGTTCATGACATATTTAAATTAGTAGTTAGTGCCCAGATTTAGAAACCCTGTTATCTTTCAGCAGTAACACAGTTTGGAAATGTGTATGTGTACATCAGCCTTGATTGCTGCGTACATTGTAGGTGGAACAAATAAATGGACTGTAGTGTTATGTATTCTAGTGTTACTGCTAAAGAAATATTGGTGGTTCTTGTATTCTGAAACATTCAAACATGTTCCTTATTACTGTTTTACTTTGTAATTCCTCCCCACCCCCACTAACAATTCATTTCCCCCAAAAGTTAATGTTCTTTAATGTCTGAGTTTTCTAATTTCATCAGGAGAATTGCTGAGAGTTACAGAAGAAAAGGAAAGTTGCAAGAAAATTGAATAAAGTAATTTATATACAGAAAGTGCACACATCTTCAGTCATGTTGAAGAAATCAGTTTTCTTGATTCACCACAGATTTTTTGGCTTTGTGTACTGTAATCTGCATACTTATTAATAGTGTCATATTTATAAATGAGGAAGTTACTTGAGTTGCCATTGGTTCAATAAGTTTGCAGAACATGTTTAGAGTCTAATTTTAAATTATTTTGTCCCACTCCAAAAGGGCCACCATTTTAAAAGTGTAGTTTTCGACATCAGTTGCAGTTTAAGGTTATCCCTCTGTTGACAGAATAAATTTTGTAAAATTGTGATAGATATAAAAACAGTCTGAGGTCTTGTTAACTTCTCAAATTCTTGGGATTAATTATAAAATAGTTTAATATGTATTGTTTTAATGTAAAAGTTGAATTGTTTTAATGTAAGGATTGAACAAAAGTTTATGTTAGATTAGTTATCTTTTTGAATTTTGGATGTAGTACAGTAACTGGAACCATAATCAAAACTGATTAACTGAGTGAATTTGGCAGGTAACTAGGTATTTGATTCTAGGTTTACTTCAGTTTATTTCATTGTACTTGGTCACTTCTCATGGCATAGTTGAGGATATACAGTTAATGAGAGGCAGGATTGTTGATTCATGAAATAAAAGAAGTTTTCTCCACATGTGAGAAAAATATTCAAAACAGGACAAGAAAGAACATTTGGCTAAGTTGACTTTTAAAGTAGGACTGCTTTATTGGTAATAGGATGCATGAGGATCATAAACATGTTGGAGAGGAAGCCATTATACACTTGTGTGATGATTTATGGTGATGTAATATATAAGTTTCTCACTGCCATCAGTAAGTGTGAAGTTACCGCTTACTATTGCTGACTGTTACGATCTTACATACAGTTATACTGTTAATAATTTATTTCTCTTAGCTAAGGAAAGTTCAGATAAGTTTATTTCATTGCGTATTCTCCAGGAAGGTGGTCAAGACATAAGCAGGGCACAAGATACAGGAAAAGGAGTTAAAAGTTCGTTATCTCTTATTTTGGTGGTATATAGATTTAATTTCCTTCCTTGCTTAGCACCTTAATATTTGTCTTCATCTCCATCTTGAGACTGCCTGCTGTCCATATAAGTCCCTTAAGACTGAGTACAAATTGATCACAAATGTTCATCTCAGTTCAGTTTCCTTATGTAGGATAGCCAGTTTTGTCCACAGGCTGAATGCCATTGAACTAACCTGAAGTTTGATCCACTGGTATACACTTCATTGTAGCAAACAGTTCTGTCCATGATTGGCAGCCAGTTGTCACTGGATCTCTGCTCCATTCATTCCATCAGACACCAAAAAGTACACTGTTGCATGTTGCTTGTCCTTGGTGCAAACCTTTAGTGGAGCAGTCACCTTTACACCATGCTCAGTCAGCGTGAACAAACTACAATTGAGTGACACTTGCAACATGTCAGTGTCTGACCTTGAGCTACAGCATGATCAGGCCTCGACAGTGTTTTCAACTACGCAATGAATATATTTCAGTATTGTCCTTACTTTTTTAATCTCATTCATACACATAATAGTCTCTTTGAAAAGCTTATAATCCCTGAATTAGTAAAATTCCCTGCCACACTCTCAGGCCCTATTTCCAGAGGAATCGTCTTTATTATTCTCCCACCTACACCTATGTTTTCCAAGTGATTGGAATAAATAATTTTAATAATTACATTTGTATTTGGTTGAAGTACTGAATCCCACATACAAGATTAGGGGATTTTGAGTCATCCAGTATAAAGATTTATAATTTTTCACTTCCTCTGCTATAAATGTTGGGGTATAATCATGAAAAATTCACCTTCTAAATATGTCTACTTTTTTTTCTTCTCCCCTCTTGAGAAGACATATGCCAAATCATTGTTTAAGTTTCCTTTACTGGTCTCTTGAGTACTCGTATGTGTAGGCCCAACACTTTTTTAAATGCTATTGTTTGAGCCATGCTAAGAGTGTAATCCAATTAAAAAAATTTTGCTTGAAATTACCAAATTCACTGTAGTAACAGTTTTCAGTATGTTCCTGTTTATTAATTTGGAACATCACTGACAGCGTAACATTTAAACGTCTTTTTCTTTTGCTGCACAAAATCACAAATTGTTATTAAATTAACACCTTATTCTCTGCATAATGTTTCCACAGTCCTTCTCTAGATATATTAGTAACTCCATTTTCTTCGCTGTGGTAAATGACTAATGCTCTTCTAGCTGTTGCCTGCTAGCATTTTCAACATGATCTTGAGAAAATCACAAACATGGGCCTGCATGAGGATAAAGATTTGGTGATATGGGTGGCACTATAAGAATTAAGTGGTAGGTCCTGTAACTACTAGACATGAAAACCACATACATCTTAGAATTCCAATATCTTATTCAGGTCTGGTACTCAATTCTTTCAGTCTGATTATCCCAAATTTATATTCTGTTTCTGATGCAGGTTGCCTTTTACAAGTTTAAAATTGTCACATTCCTGGAGGAACTTTTTTTACAAACAGTTTATATTTTAATGTAGTACTATACAGCCTTCATATTTCGAAACTCACATGCTAGTTTCTTCATCATTCATATTCATTATCCAGGAGTTTCATTCTGTTGTTTATAAAAAATCTGTTTTTCTTATTTTAGTTACAGTGCAGTCTCTGTAAGATGTATAAGACTGTATGGTGCTTGAAATTGTTAGCACTTGCATTGGAAACCAGCCATGTTGTGTAGCAACGCTTTTATTAAAGATAACATTTGGTATATTATAATTATATTTATAAACTATACTCTTTGCATGCATGCGTGCACATAAGAGTGTGTGGAACAGCAGGCAGAAGTCTGTCGGCCTAATGTAATATAATATCATGTCTGTAGGCCTTGTGTAAAGGCTATTATAGATTCATGAAGTAGTGAATAGACAATTGGTAAGAAGTGGGAGAAAATGTATACTGTGCCAGAGGGGATGTTGGAGAGTCTCTAGATGCAATCATATTTGTAATATAAAAGTATTTAGTTTCATAACATTACATGCTTGATTGGGCTGTTGGATGCATGTTTATAATTGTTTGGCTTGGTAGAACTTAACAATTATTTTAACATTATCAACTTGATTTTACAAACACAAGTTCTGTTCTTAACTAAAATTTATTTCCTGTGACAGTTTATGGCTGTCATAGTCATCTCATACACATACAGGCACACATGGAATATCCCTATTTTCAGTTCAAATGTCACATCACATTCTGCTTAAGAAACCTGTTTGTGACACCAACCCTCCTGTGAGTTAAGGAGATTGAATATGAAAATGTGATGTTGATGGATACAAAGTTTTGAATATGAATAGTACATGACATTTTCTTGGTGAGGGAGGGCAGGAAAGAAGGTCTTGGTGGTAATAAGTAATAGTTTTATATATGAATAGTTACATTCCTGAAGAGAGTTTGTAAAAGCTGTTGCTGTTTCCTGTAAGCACAATGTTATAATTATGATTTGCATTTCTGTAGGAAAACAGATGTTGTATCTATTCTTATATGCCATCAGCTGTAGGACACACCCCAATTTCATAAATTTTAAAATGTAAAAAAAAATCCTAAACTTGAGGAAATACAGTAATTGATAACTAACAAGCCTGACAACAACTTTGATATGCTTGATATCTGCACTTTAGTTTCAGCAGTAGTTTGTTTGTTAAACACATTTTTTCACAGCATGTCTGCATATCCTCTGGCATTAGTGTTACAGTTGTGCAATTTGCTACTCCAGATCCTCACTTAACCTGTATTATTATTGAAGGCCTATTCATTGCCTGTAAGTCCATTTGAAGCATTTATTATATACATACATATAT